TGTCCCCTCGGTTTTATGAAAAATAATAAAATTCAGAAATTATGCAAACTGAGCCAAAAATGTGAAATTATTCGATTCTGTTAATTTTAACAAAGACAGATAAAAAGAAATAATCAGAAATTATGCAAAGAATTGATCAAATTTTGCTTAATTATGTGGGTTGCATAAAACCAAGGGGACAGATTTGTAAAGTGCACTGAAACCGCCACAAAACGAATCGATCCTCCAATGGGCACCGGGTATTGGATACCCGGCCCTTCAAATAATAAGTATAGTGAGTTCTAAACAATTGGTCACTCCCTATTATAAGTACAGTACGGTACAGTGCACAAATGTAGTATTATAAAGCTAATGGCTCATTGAGAGAGACGGGTGTCTGTGGAGCAGCAGTAAAGCGCTTCGCATGGAGGATTTAAATTTAAATAGAATTCGAAGCTAAGGTCTCTGGTGCTTCGTCGTCGAAGGCAGAAGACCCCATTCCAGGGTTGGCAGAATCGTGTTTTTTGAATATACCCGTCTTTCTGTTGGGATATTGTATCCCTACAACGACCTTTCAAACACATAATATCTCTCTCTCTCAGTCACAGTTGGCCGTGAGAGGCAGGGTCCAATCTCGCCTCCCAAGTTATTGAAATTAGTGTTAAAGGCGTAGTGTCCTATGATTTAATTACCAATACACCATCCAACACGTGCCTACATCCAAAAATTCGATGGCAACAAGGCTAGAGGGCGACCGAGAAAGACCCGGATAGATAGATGGAGTCAGGGAAATATTAACCACCCACGGCATCCCCCTGACCCAAGCTCTCCGGCTGGAGACAGAGAGACGTCTCTTTCTTCCCGCGACACCCAAAAGGGTATAAGCGACGGATAAAAATCAAAGTAAAATAAATAAGTTAAAGGCGGCTCAAAATACCTACCGAACAAAACAAAAAACCAACAAACAACAACAACAACAACAACAAGCAAGCAGGCAAACAAAACCCAACATAAAAACAGTAACGACAAAAACAAAACACACAGTAAAGTACTGAGAGACAGTTACCTGTCCTCTTGGTTGTACGATACCCGCAGTTCATTTATCTCTGTCCCTTTCAGGTGACGGGGTCAAAAGCATACGTCCTGCGCGCACGTTACATCTCTCTACATGAAACTGTCAGGTACAATATGCGGGCACTTTACATCTTTATATGAAACTGTCATGTATACAAAAGGACAGCTCTCCACCACTCCCCCCCTCTTTTCTTGACCGTCGTGCGTATTTCTTGTTTTCTAGAATTTTCCATCCGATCGTAACGGTAACGGTAGACGGTGTCAGTTCAGGGTCCTTTTGTTTTTCTTCTGCTTCCCTTTCGTTTTCCCAACCTTTTAAGTGCACTCATTCCTATTTCTTTCCCCTTCTGACTCAATGAGACCTCCGTGCGTTGAGCAGAGCTCTGGTTCTCTGGCTTGCATGCATGAGTTCGATTCTAATGTGGGAAAGATATGTCATCAAGTATCTTTGCATTTTTATTTACAATGAATGTTCTCAGCCAAAGACTGGTTGGCTCCAACATGCAGAATCGAAGTAAATGAAGCCTGCTCCCTATTTAGTGAAGACGGCGACGATGAGTCTATTTACAACAAATTTAAGACAATTTGCCCACTTTTTTGGTCTATACAAATATTGGCTTGCCTAAATATATTTCCCGCTCCTCTTTCGAACACAGCTAGGTGCAAACCAAGTGTTTGAGTGTGCGTATTTTCGCATATGTGTACAGGCGATGTTGTATAATCACTTCTTTTGTTGACCTACGCGTGATATCTATTCCTACACGTACTAGAAGTTTCCAACCAACTGACAGCAATCTTTGCAACCCCCCCCCCAACCTTTTCCCACACTTTTGCTCTCTCCAAAATATTTCACTGTCGGATCTTGTAGTACAAGATTTGGGCATGTGTGTTGATTCTTCGTTGTTTTTGTCATTCATAGACGTAGCTATTCACTTTATATATATATATATATAAATATATATATATATATATATATATATATATATATATATAATATATATATATATATACATATAATATATATAAAGTAAAGACACCTATAACTCGAAATCACTGATGCATCGAACTGAAATCTCTGCTTCAATTAAAAACAAAACAAAACAACAAAAACCCCAAAAATCAACGCTACGGATATATTACAGACCCCCCCTTCACCCCCGCCCGCCCGGAGGGGAAAAAATTTTTAAAAATCCAATGCGGTAGGTCCGACCAAATGCGAGTTACATAAAAGTGTCTTTGACTAAGGATGGAGGAGAGGCCGTGACCGTACAAATCATTCTGCAAAAGACCACTTGTCCACTGACTGTACTGACTTGCCCTTTCGAACTAAACATTGCTCCAACATGACATATGTATAAACAAGTAGAACACATAAGAACACTCAACAATTGTGCCTCAGGTGTTCCATTTCAGGTCCTCATTAAACTATGTCCCTCTGTACCAAATGCACAAGACTCAGGCTAATCACCCAGAACGGGAACCATAAGGTAATTCGGTCGAGATGAAGAACTGTCATGTTAACTCTTGAAGGAGAGAGACAAATATGGAGATCTGACAGGCACTCATTCTGGAGTTTCCCCAGCGAACAGATAATTTTGTCAGTAAGAACCAGGACGATCCAGTTATTTTTGGGGGTTCTTAAAGAAAGAGTTTTACGGCACTTGCGACACAATAAGGTCATAAGTGCCGAAGATAAGAAGAAGTGTTACAAGAGAGTAACAAACACACAAAAGATGGAGGGGAGATAGAAATGATAGATGTTATGATTAGAAAGAAAGAGCAAACCACACCAGAGCACCCGCCAACCAACCACGATTGGTAAAGGTTAATGATGATTCCCCATTTTAAATGTGTATTTTACACATGACGTTACGGAGACCCAAATGTGGCATAATCTAGAGGAGGCCGCGGATACCAATACAAGATCGAGTAAAAGTTTCATATTTGGGACACAAGTTTACTTTCCCCATTGATGTAACTGGCAACGACCATACCTCTAAAGAACTTTTCTTTTTTTATAGTAGAAGGTTTTACGGCGCTCGCAACTGCATAAGGTCATATGAGCGCCATAAAGAACTGACTTTTGACTCAGCACTGTTCTTAATCAGCTGCTTGCACTGTGTGCTTCGTGGGAAGCTGAGAATGTTTCTGAGCGTTCTATGGTCTGCTGAGGTAATAATACAGTGCAAAGTGCATAGAACCTGCTATTGAGCGGGGATATGCACAAAACAAAAGCTATTTAATTATCATTCTTACTACTTGTTGGACTCCAACAGGAAAAGGTACCACAGGGATTTTAAACATGATGCTCCCAAACAGTCTCCATCAGTAAATCAGATTTATAAATGTCATGACATGGTGGAATCAGCACTTGTCAATTTTTGGGCATGTGATTGTGGAGTTATTGGTATCATCTTAAAACTTGTTCATTTGTCTATCTTTCAATGAAAAAAAAATCCATCTATCTAGAATACAAGTCGAGATATTTGTGATTGGAGGAGGTAGGGGTCACCTCGATTAAGAGGTAAAATTTGCAAGTAAATGGTGACCAAAATTTGGTGACTTCCATAGCTTGAGAGTCCCTCGCAAGTGAAAATTTACATTACGTATGCCTTTAATCAATGTTTTTCCATAAAATTCACACAGATATGTGTTTTTAAATGGACATAAAAGGTTTGGAACCAAAACAAAAAAATTCGATAAATATTGCTGGTATCGGTAATTTCATTATTTTGACGAGTGCCTGATATCGATATGATGGCTCTGATATTTTGAGAAAAAAAAGTTTGTCATTAACAGCGCATAACAAACAAAAATAAAACTAGAAATCGAAATTTTGCTTTATTATCTACATCAGGGAATTCATAATATATGTTCTTGCAATAAATTGACAGGCAGCAAATCTCATCTCACAACTGCAACCATCTTTGTGCACTGTCAGTATCATTTGTGTGAGTGCCTGGAGACAGGTCCCAGTTGTCGGCAAAGTTAGTTTTGAGCAACGGGGTGAAAAGGCAAAAAAACTCATACAAGGTAAAAAATTTACTTCCATCACAAAACACATGTTTAACTGTTTCTTAATAACATATTGAAAGGATTTTATAACATTTTAAGTCTAAATATTTATTTATTAGTTATTTTTGCAACATGCTGTAATGTACTTCAACAAAGGTTTAATAATATGCTAGAAATTTTTTTTCTTTCTCCAAACCTTGTTTTTATATATGTGTGTTTGTTTGTCTGTTTTTGTTTTTTTTCCTGTGTCCTGATTTTGGTGCCCGTTTTTGTTGGTTACGTAAAAAGAAAGTAATGGTGCAGATTGTTATATGAAAGGGGAATTGTTGAGTCGGTAATGATGATGATGATGATGATAATGCTGATGATGATGATGATGTTGTTGGCGATGGTGACGGTAATGGTAATTGTGATGGTGAGCATGAGGATGATTATTTATGTTGGCGACGATGATGTTTCAATGTAGGAAATGACATGCGTGTTAGTCTTAGTGTTAAGTTTGTTTGGTGCTTACTCTAGATCCCCGCCAGGCTGTCCTGGGGGGCAGGACACAACCCTCATTCCCAACTCCTCGCATAGAGTGACCAAAAATTTGGAAATAATTCGTCATCTTCTTCCCTAGCATTTAATAAAAGTAGGCAGAAAAATCACATGGGGGCCGCTTTTAAGTGATGACATTGTTAGTGTGTTTGTTACCCTACATCTATGCTATCATATTTTCAAAACAGTGAAAGGAATGTGGCCAATGTGTTTTTATATGTGTTACAAAATGTACAAAATTAAAAATCAAAATATTTTGAAAATTTTTTTAACCAGCTTGTTGAGCATTGAGTTTACTACAGAATATACCTTTATTTCAATATCCAAAATTTCCGACAACTGGGACCTTTCCCCAGCCACACACCCATTTCATTCAAAGACAAGAGCCCAAAAACTTCCCAGTCACATTTATTCAATAATTTGTAATTTCTATCTTTTACTCAACTCTCAGATGTATAATATATTAATAAATAACAACAACAGTAACAACAATATTACAGACTACGTGTATGCATATGTACGAAGGCGTTATATGGATGTCACATGAGGACATATCCCAACCCTTCTCTCTTTTTTCCTCCACATACAATAAACGATAACTGACATTCTGCATAACAAGTTCATTCTGTATAAAACTTACTAATACACTAACCTTTCACATGCATCACCTCACATTTGATTTCATCTGAATTTCATTGTGATCAACATATTATATATATATAGCTGCCTGAAGCTATAAATAGGAACAATCTCTATAGAGAGTTAAATCCCAGCAAAGGGTATACACAACAGACAAATGAGGACTGTATAATCTAACAGCCTTGGACTAATATACCTATGGCACAAAATCATGAATCACCTGTTCTTGAGTGATGTAAGTAGAATATCAAATGATTCTAGCATAAAAAAATTCCAGTATTATGCAAAGCCTGTTTCTTTTAGAAGACAAAACTATTTTTATCAGTGTAACCTCACTACACTTCATAAATATCTCTTGCCACACTTGAAAAGATTTCCAAACAATCTTACAGAGACACAATTTTTGGGGGGTCAATTTAAAGTGAGGTGGCAAACCCCATTCTCCCCGCCCCCCTCAAGTAACCAAAAACAAGGATAGTAGAGCAGCTCTACCTTCCTCCCTTCTACAAACAACCATCAAGCCACAAGAAGAAATTCACATATCATCATTCTCCCTAATTTCAATATGTCCGCAGTTCATTTTGAATATAGAATGCCAGTCACAAAAGTCACCTTTACACCCCTATCCCCAAAAAAAAGAACCCCCCCCCAAACACACACACAAAAAAAGAATCAGTTTTTTCTTTTCACCCCCCTCCCCTGACCAACAAAAGCCTTCCCTCTTCCCCGACTCGCAAAGCCCTTCCCTCCCCTCCCTTTAAACTTCTTTTTCTCTTTTGACGCATCTTTCACTGTTGCATCTTCTACACTGTGCTCCTTGTGCAGAAAGTCATACAGCTGCTGAGCGTGTGTGGCACTGCCCAGTGCCTGCGTCAGCTCTTCCAAGCTGGCCTCTGACACCTCGTGAAGGTCCCGGAACTTGTTCAAAATGTTGAAGAAATTCTTCGAGTTGATGCCCGGCATGCGTAAAACAAAATCCTGGGGAAAGGTAAATTTTGTAAAAAAGTAGTTATATTTTTACCTTCATTTCCATGTGGTAAGCTATTAGGTGTGCAAAGAGAAAAATAGCAATCAAGGCTGGAAGACGGAAGAAAAGACATGTCTTTCTGAATGCAGGCAAAGCTATTACAGATATGGTAAACCAAATTTAAAGACTGATATTTCACATTTTGAAATAAAAGAGACTGAAATTGGCACCCCCCCCCCCCCCCCCCCCCAACAAAAGAAACAAAAACCCCCTCATAATCTAAGTATAAATGTTCAGATGTGCTATTCTATCTTATGTCTTAAGTATAGAAATGCGTGTATATGCTACCTAATATCTTGAGTATAAACGTTCATGAATATAAGTGAGGCATTGTGGTGAAATCAGGCGCTCGTCAAAACAATGAAATTGAAGAAACAGGCATTTTTCTGCAGGTTTGGAAATTTTTATCAAATTTTAGCTTTTTTTGGACTCAACACCTTATATGTCCATATATAAAAACATGTTTTCGTGTCAATTTTACTAAAAAACGTTGATTAGGCCACAAAATATGTCATTTTTAAGTTTTCAAGGACTCTCAAGGTATTGAAGTTACCAAACTTTGGAGGCCACTTTTTTTGCTAATTTTACCACTGAAACCAGGCGACCTCACCTCCTTCAATCGCAAGCATCTTGACTTCTAATCAAGATAGATTGGTACATTTTTCATTGACAGCAAGGCATATGAATAGGTTTTTAGATGATACCAATAACTCCACATGCCCAAAAATTGAAGAGAGCCTGATTCCACCGCATTGTGACACATAGACTATCTAATGTCTTGAGTGCAGAAGTTTATGTATGTTATTTAATGTCAGGAGTATAGAAGTCCATAAACATAAAATATACTATTCTAATGTCTTGAGTACAGGAGTTCACATATATATGTATTTAATGCATGCTTTCTAATGTCCTGAGTAAAGAAGTTGATGTATACTATTTTAAAGTCAGAGCACAGGTGTTAATGTGTTCTATTCTTAATTAAACACTTTGCAGTCACTTGGCGCAACAATGTGCCGGTGAAATTATCCATTCTGTTTTGCGTAAAGCCCGAGCAGTCTGTTGCAGTCGCTCTCTTGGCTGGGTGACTAGATGGGTTATTTTGTACTGCTGGCTGTGTAAAGAAGTTGATGCAAAGTGTTTAAAAAAGTGAAATGGGGCTGTATATTACGCATTAATAGATTGAGACTAGACAAGACAGGGAGGAGGCTGAGGGGGAGATGAGCAGACAGACTGAAATGTACACATATGGAAGCATATATAAATAAGGAGACCCACCTGTGGGCCGTGATTGTATTTGTCGTTCCACTCAGGTACCTCGGAGCTGGAGGCCGTGACGGTCATGGCTATTTCAGCGTTGGGCTGAGGACGACCTGCCTGGAGGGTCAAAAAAGTGTATAGGTTTAGTGGGGGGGGGGTTGGGTTAAAAAAAATTAATTATTTTCATTTTTGTTCTTTTTTTCCTTTATGCTTCATTTCTTTTTGTTGTTTTTGGGGAGCTTTCTTGCAAGATTGTTAGGTTATTCAGGAACCTCTTAATTTAACATCCATCTCCAACAGGACCAGCCAAATGGGAAAATTTGTGCAAAGCACTTGGCTTTTAGCAGAGATGTAAGGAAACTTAAGTGATTGGCAGTGTTCCAGTATCTAGAACCTGCGGCGCTATATTCTCTTTCGAGGATAAGGTAGACTGGAAGACAGGCTGGAGACAAGCGTCATTGTGAAATTGTGGAAGACACTGGCAGGAAGGAATCCCCACCCCCCCCCAACACACACACACACACTCATAACCATCCACCCACCCACACACAGTGCAGTTCTGTTTACCATCAGCATTATTCACAAACTTATAAATACCACTATGAACAGTTATGTAATTGGGAGAATGTAACAACCAGTCCCACGCAGCTCCTCAAAATGACAATGACTAAAATTCAAATCTCAAAGAATATCTGAAAGGTCTTCTTGTCAATGAAGACACAAAACATGATGAAAAGTAGTTGAAATTCAAGTACTATTTCTTTATAGTAATCACCTTAAGCTCCTCAAACAGCTCGGCAGAGGCATAGGGGGAGGGGCACCAGAGCAGGCGGAGTTTGGGGAAGTGCATGGTAAGCATGGCCAGCTTTGAGGTCACATCCTGCAGGGACACATCGCTGCCGAGACTTGACTTGGCCTGGTGGAAGGGATTTGGGGGGGGGGTTCAATGCCACAAATTGTATGGGTTTAATGTCTCTTGCAACTCTCCCAGGTTATTTAAGAGGGGGACCTCAGAATTTAACTCCCATCTCTGATAAGACTGAACCAAAAAGGAACATTTTTGTAGAGAGCCTTTCCGTCCGACACAACATTGGACTGAGCTGAGCCCTAAAAGCAGGGTGGAATACCTATAAAAACATACAGTTGGTAAAACGATAAAACCATGAGATATCAAATATTATCTATAATTTAGTATAAAAGAGATATGTTACTTGCAGAGGAGAGATACATTTACACACAGAATTACCATCTACATTTCTATAGCCTCTGTCTCTGTGGTGGGCTCTCATCTTTCCAATCTTTCATCTCCCCTGTCCAGTAATATCAGTAACATTTTAAAAAAGGTTGGAAAATACAGCTTCATTAAGACTGCAATAATCTCAAAAAGTACTGTTTCAACTAATTCTGAAACCAAAACAAATGCTAAAAGAAATCCAGAGCAACATAAAAAAAAGAGAGTTAAACATTTCATTAAAAAAAATAAATATTGAACATTCTATATTTCTAGAAATTTCTAGAAAAGGAGTTCTTTTCTAATAAGGTCTGACCCACCTGTAAAGAGAAAGGCTTATTGGCATCAAACTCTATGAGCAGCATTGGCCGCTTGTAGAACCTGCTCATGCTCAGGGCTTGCTGGTATAGTCGGCCGTTGTTCAATGAGCCAATCAAATCGCTAACGCTTTTCCGCTCAACACAGATGTCTGGAGTCAAGATGTAATCCCCAACCTGTTGATAACCATATTGATACCCATTCAATTAGTTTGACAGATGAAAGTAATTACATCCACTTCCCATCGCACAAAGACAAGCTCACATGTATTCCACAAGTCCCAAAAACAAAAACTTCTAACCATTTTAGAATAAATAATCCTATTTCGGAAATAAAAACTTTAAAGGACTATTATCGCTGATTTATGTTAAATTATCCAAGCTGGAACCATGAGAAAGCATTCTGTGTTGCAAACAATCTTTTTACGAACATTCGGGTACTTTTTACACCAAAGACAAAAATCTAGTTTTTGTTTTGTCGTTCCTATCAGAAATCATGAAAACCAAGAAAATTTGGAAGCCTTGACAATAGCATTACACAGCATTTTCGTTTTATTGAAAGGTGCATCGTTGATAGAGCTTTGGGAGGATGTGAAAATAGAAAATTCTCAAAATTTGGATTTAAGTGGATTGTTTGCAACAATTCAGTCTTAGAGGAGGTAACATAACAATTACATAGTATTCCCCTCCCCCCCCACCTCCCGAGAATCAGAACATCTGATCTTTATAATTTTTACATTATACCATTATCTCCATTTCATATTTCCCCTACTTCACAGTATATAATGGAACGATCAAAATGCAGAAGGTTTTCCGAACTTACTGGATCACTGAAAGAGAAAAAAAGATATATCATTACTGCATAATAAAATACAATGTGGAGCAAGTTGACAAATACTGAGATATTCAACATTTTAATAATGTTAAAACTTTCTGCAAAATTAACATCCTATAACAGCTGGCGAACATGGGTAAAATTTGAAGAACAAACCTCTAGAGTGATGGGTTCTATTTCAATGCCACGCCGATGTATGAGCGAAGGGAGTTCACTGCGGAATTCTCGCATGTCAACAATAACCTGAGGAAGATTTGACATATATGAAGATCTCAAGGGAAAAAACGGCATCAGTCACAGGTACCCAAAAGTTGGGTCTATAAGCTGCGACTTATTTTGTCAGCTTTTAATCCTGCAGTTTAAACAACAATGTAGGTTATTTACAGCAGCATATACTCCCTCGTCTACTATTAGTTGGTAACTGTTCAATTTCACAATCCATGTTAAAGTGTTGGCGCCATAAAAAGTGTTAACAGTTCATATTGTTACAGTGCTAACTGCTAACATTCTAAATCAAAGCCGCACACATTGAAGCATCAGACCCTTTTCTCAAACCTACAACCTCATCATGCCGAAAATGGCAGTGGAGACACCACTTGATCTGGTCAACTCTGACATTGAAGAAGAAGCTTTGAGCGAATTCAGAGGACAGGACATGATGACACTGAATAAATGTGATGTACATATCTGTGTTGTATGATCTGCCGCGGCTTATAAACCAGTGCGGCTTACTCATAAAAAAAGTTGAGATTTAAAAAAAAGTGAGTGGGAGTAGCTTATATACAGGTGCTGTCAATATACCAGACTTTACTGTAAATTATTGAAGACTTCTGCCGTTCTTTCATTAATTTATATGGAAAACTGACATTCTATTTATGCATAATAATTGTCAGTAGTAGGAAACTGGAGTTGTTTTTGGCAAAAATGGTATTTGGACAAGTACTCTCCATGCATATTATAAAACAGAAGATTTAATGGGTTTACAGATCACATTAGGTACTAGTATAGGAAGAACATGATACAATAGATAAACAGTAGAATATTTTGACAAACTCCTGTTTCTATTCCTCTTGTAGAAAATTAACATGAACCAAAAGCCTATTACTAAAACCTTGCCTGTTTGTTCAAATAAAAAAAAAAGAAGAAGTTTTGCACAAACTGACCTGATTCTTCTGTACAATGTCCACACCACCTTTCCTAGAGCTGGGGCCTGCCTGCTGCTGACCCGCGCCTCTTGCTAGGTTTGGGTCATCCTCTGAGCGACCATCTTGTTCTTCACTGATCACCATTGTCTGTCACATGCAAGAGAGTATAACACTACCGTTCACTGGAAGTTTATTGTTTGTTTTTGATGATTTTAGCTCCCCCTCCTCCTTCCCCACCCCCTCTTTCTACACTACAAATATTACTCAAAAGATGGTAGGTCCCCGCCCCCCTCTTGAAAAAACCTACCCTTCATTAAATTAACCATCTCTAGAAGAACAGAGTAGCAAGGCACAGAAATAGAAGCTTTAACAGTCAATTTTCAAGGAAACAATTGCATTTGAGTTGGCCACAATGTATTTAAGTGTTGAACAGTTTAAATACATGTGCTGGAACTGGATGGCTTCTAAAAGAATTCTTTCTGCACTTGTTAAAAGGATTTGGGGGAACGGGGGAGGTGGGGCAGCTATGTTAGCTTACTTCACTCAGAAGAACATGTTCAGTTGTATAAGAATAACTGCTTGAAGCAGTTTGGGAATACACAGTCTGGAACAGGCAGCTTCACTTGCTTTTGTTTAAGAGAAGCACATTCGTAAAATGAAGGGAACTTCATTTTGGGAAAGCACAAGCCGACATTGTAATTTTATTACAGAATGCTCAAGATACAGGGTCACACATGGAACTCAACAGCTAGTATGGTACAAGACAAATAGCAAAAAACATGAAATCAATAATATCAACAGAAAAAAAAAGTATGACGGACAAGGATGTGGCCACAAAACTATTACAAAAATTTTCTTTTTGAAAGACCAAACAAGCCACAACAAAAGACACTCACGGCTTTCTCGCGAATGAGGTACTCAAACGCCTCTTTCTCCTTCCTCAGTGTGGTCAGATAGCGTTGCTCCTCCACCGAGCCTTTATACATCATGAAGTACACGCGGAGAGGCTTGCCTGGCCGGGACGCTTTGTACACCTGCGGAGAACAAAGTCCAGCTACATTTTGGACTTTCACTCCATTTAAAAACAGTAAAGATCACAGTCATTTTCATATGTGTGTCTCGGGCAAAGATGCAGGGAGCAGCCCATCCCTCCCCATGCCAGGCCACAGTCTGGAGAAACAGGAACATTGCCCTAAGCTCAAAGATCAGGCTTATGCACTCCTTAGTGACATCAATATTTCTATATGCCTGTGAGTCCTGGACCCTGACAGCAGACACCGAGAGAAGAGTAAGAGCTACTGAGATGAGATGCTTCTGTAAAGTGCTTAACATCTCATACAGAGACCATGCCACCAATGAAGAAGGGAAAAGACCCATAAGAAGTGTAATCGGGCCTTACTCCGACCTTCTATCATTGGTCAAGGAATGGTTTATAGAGTATCTCTGTCTTTCTGCTGGACGGTTGTATGCTTTTTAGCTCAAGTTGGCCCTGACAGGCTGTGAAGAAGCAGCCTTCCATCTAAATGATCTTAATGGTGTAAATGGGGGCATAAAACATTCACAATTCTCTGATGTCAATTTGCTGACCTAGGTTCTGTCGTAGCAAAACTTACCCTTCCAAAACCCAAAAGTGTACAAAAGCCAGCCTTTGAAAGGATTATGAGCATCGAACAGAAGACAGCTTCTTAAAAAAACAAAACATAAAAATTGAATCCCTAAACCCTGTGAGTTGACACTTGGCTAGCCTGGGTGAAACAGACAGGCCTCCAACATAAAACTGTGTGTCAAGGCTACCTCATTGCTTCTGAAAGTAAACTAACAATACAGCTTACAAACAAAAAAAAGGCAGTTGCCAGTCTTGACAAGTTTATGAGGCAAGTAGTCTTGATAACATAAATGTACAGGCAATATTTTTCTAATCAAGCAAGCTCCATAACTGGTCATGTACTTTGTTCAAGGCTAATTCGTCCTTCATCACCTTTAATATGTAAGAGGTTTTTATACCTTTTTAAAAAGTATATAAGGGATTTTATACCTTCTTTTAACTCTTTATCTCCGAGGGGGGTAAACCCAGTAAGCTCAGGCTCATTTTTGGTATTTATATATGAAAAATGACGAAAATGTAACTAAATTGGTCAATAAATCTAAACAAGTGGACCTATTTTGATAGTTCTTCATCTAAGGAATGAAATCACGAAATCAGAGACCTGCTTTCGGCAATACCCGAAAATTAATTTGATGTCAAAGTCGTTGTAAGGATATATGCACGAGCCACTATCAGCGGCTCACTGGCACAGCAGTTCCGACCACGTGTCGCTGGGAGCAGCTTGCCGGAGATAAATAGTTAAAGAATTTAAGGGATTTTATACCCTTTTTTTTCAATTGACTTTTGGGGCTATTTCTAAAACAAAAACCTTAGCATCCAAAGCTATTGAAGAGCTTGAAATATATGAAAAAAGAATAAAGGAAAAAGAGTAGAGAGATTCTAACAGAGTTCATGTTACTTATTTCCTGTAGCCTACTACACATACCTCCAGCTGCCTGACAAGGCTCATGTCTGCATCATAGAGCACCACATATTTGGGCTCTACTTCTTCCAGCGTGCGAGCCAGTCCATGCGGGTCAGAGCAGCCATGCAGTGGATGGATGATGGTCATAGGGGAGGTGACGATGCCGCAATAGGCATCTTTGGAGGTCATCAGAAATTCCTTGGCCTACAGGTAGGATGGTGAGGAATGGCAAGAACCACGAATTTATGGTAAATTACTCATTTGTTCTGTACAATTCAGCAGCGAACCCAGCCTCTAAAAAGGGCTGTAACAATAATTTGGGAACCTCAATGAGCAAAAACTACAGAGTATAACATTGTCAAATTTTCACTGTCAACATTTGACCAGACAATGCATAAAACAGTAGAAAAAAGACTTCAAAAATACAACGTAATAAAGTGCATAAAGTAATCAACAACAACAAAATTCAGTCTCTAATCTAACCTTAAGACCTGAACACGACAGCAGTGACCAACAATGGGAAGTATCTCATCAAAAAGAATGTTATACGAGGGTTGTGCATACATAGCTGTTTTATATTGGAAAGTAATATTTCTCATCTCGTCTTCCAATGCACTTTCAAATTTCTTCCTTAGCGACCTGTGACTTCCTTCAAACTGTCAGCATCTTGAACTGAAAAAATACACTTATACTCTTTAAAAACAAAACAAAAATTAAATTAAGGCAAAAGCATATGTTAGGTTAAAAAATATACCAAGAATAAAACCTAGATTAAAAGCTTACTGAAAAAATATGTGGCTATACCCATTATCTTCTCTAGTATAAAATAAAACTGAAATAAAAGAAAAAAACAACATAAATATATGCAAACAAGACAAAGATTTATTCACTACTAACTTTATCATCTCCTTCAGCAGAGTCATCTCCTTTTCCAGCTCTCATCATCTGGGTCAAGGTCAAGGCATCCTCATCAGCAACTGCAGCTTTCTTTTTATTTTCCTTTGATTTGAAATCTCCCTGTAAGTGAACAGCACAAAGGCACAAACAGTTGTTCAGTTAAGAGACATGCTACTCATCATCATTTTCATCATCGCCATCATCATCCTCTTTTGTTTTTCTTGAAGCCTATCAATCTACACCATATTGGAACATTTTTACGAGATCTACAAAATTAGTATTAGCACCAAAATCAGGAAACGGGACCCCCCCCCCCCCCCCCAAAAAAAGACATGCTACTACATGACCATTTAATGTCAAGTCAACAGAACTCTTTCTGAAATCATGATAAATGCATAGATGTTCTACCATGCCAAGTTATTTGCCAACATAATAAATACAATACGTGGAGGTCCTTATAAATGAATAAATGAATCAAAACTGTGTCAAAATATGTCAACAGATAATTCTAAACTAACAAATCGTAGCTTGACAAATGTCTACAATACCCAGATTATTAGTTTTGTTTGTCTGAAATGCACCCCCCGTCCCTCCCCAAGGAAATTTTTAAAATGAAAGAAAGAACAGTGTTGTTACTTTTATATTTTCACCATGTTTGCAATACACAGACTTTCAACTTTCAACTGATACCATCTAATATATTAAAAATATCACAATCAGAGCTGGTTGTAACGGAGTACAAGTACTCCGGTACTTGTACTTACGTTACAATTTTCGGTACTTTTACTGTACTCCGGTACATTTTGAGAATCAGTACTTTTACTGTACTCCGATACTTTTATAAAAGTACTTTTGAGTACTTTTCAAGTACATTTTGAGTACTTTTGAAGCTTAATGAAAGAATAAGTGCCGACATTTCCGATAATAATTCACGGAACAAACACCCGGGCGGGCACAGCCGATCAACCAAGAGTTAAAAGTTGAGATTAAAGAACTGCCCGTCACGTCAAAGATCAGCCACTCTTGTGAAAGTGATCACATGCGCTTTTAAACTCCATGAAACGGTACAATGATCCCCAGACGGGATCACACCGAGGTGTGCACTGACCGATGGGCGTTTCTTTTCCCCAAACATCGCACTCGCATCTGAGCTCGCCACCTGAACTTTCATCCCTCGCTGGGTGGGTTGGGCCTACAAGTTCGCTCCAGGCATGATCACATCGAACTGTGAACTCTTCCCTGACCATTGAAGTTGAAGGCAGTTTTTCTCTATTCCCGAAATTGCGAGACAGCCTGAATTTTAATTGGTGTGGTCACAGCGTAATGGTACGTAACGACAAAGGCGGGGGGACTCAATCAGAGATGGAAGGCTACAATTTTTGGGCAGGTAAAGGGGAGGGGCAACTGGATAAACGTAGATAAAGATCTCGAGACAATATGCTAATGAGTGTACGGTATAATATTATGGCTTGCCTCATGCCACCATGCTACTTTGATTGGTCATCAAGGATGACCACTCTTTGCTCGCCATATGTCATAAACCTACCCAGGGGTCACGTCAGTTCTTGGGTCACTGTAGATTCTTCCTTAGCTTCGTTGGGCTAAGATCCCATATTTCCCTTGCTCCCGAGCACTGGGATCTTAGGCGGAGACTACTGTAGTAGAGAATTTTTGGTTACACTACACTTACTAGACTCTAGGAAATTACATGTAGGCCTATTTTGGTTTGCCGTGGGCGCCGTGGACTACACAGTGTGACCAAACTCTGTCTTACCACTATTATAATCAATTGAAACTGAAACTGAGTTCTCAATGTATATCAATCTAACAATTTTTTAGGCTACCTAAATTTCTTTTTTCCTTTTTTTTTGTGGTTTGTGCTTAAGACTACCTTGATTCCTTGAGGATTTGTGAAAGAATTCAAAGCACTTTTTTTTTTGCTGGCCATTTTCATCAATTTTTTTATTTTCTTAGGTCAACTTTGTCTCTACATTTTCCAATTTTGATACTTTTCCTACTTTCCGACCTCTAGGACTGACTTACATTAGATCATATTGTCTTGCTCAAACAAATTCTATTCATAATATCACTTACTCACTAGTTGCGTCTGTTTGTTTGCTGGGTTTTTTTTTTCAATTTCACGGACAATTTCCACCTACGTTCAGTGCGTATATTCAAATGCTTTGTATACTGTTTACATTATTAGTAATAAATGGCCGAATTTGTCAAATATACTAGATATGTTATTCAATATGATGTTTTGCATTTTGAAGTGTTTTAGCATATTAGCAGAAAGTACTCAAAATGTACTCATAAGTACTTTTTTTAAAAAGTACTTGTACTCAAGTACATTTTACAGGAAAGTACTTTTACGGTACTTAAGTACATATTTTAGATTGTACTTAAATTTGTACTTAAGTACCTTTTTAAAAGTACTTTAACAGCTCTGATCACAATATTATAAATTCAGAAAGAGATAGAAAATAATAAAAGGATAAGTAATGGGTACAATTTATCATGCTCCTTTGGAATACAAGCAGTTACCCTTTTTAAATTCACATGCAAAAGGTGAGAACAGTAAATTTAGGACTAAAGTATACACAAAATAACCACTTCTTTGAGTAGGCTTCAATTTTCTTGTTTTATATCCTACTTTAGCCTCTTTGCTTTAGTATTGGACTGAAGTAAAATCAAAGCCAATCATAATACCAGTCTCTTAACCCTTTGAGCCCTAGCCATCGGAACACCGGTGCTGCATAAAACTGCCTGTATTCCTAGACACCGGTACAGTGGTAAGCGAGACCCTTGCCTCAAACCAGCCCGTCTGAGAAAAAACGGGGCACAGGAAACCATTTTTACTACACAGGGCGTTCTAGATTATTTTGAAGATTTTTCTGAATTAGATGCTTGTAATGACTAGGACTACCCTTAGTGGGATATGGAATGTGATTCTGACGATGATATGAATATTAGTATAATATATCGCTCAGGAGCTCAGGCAAAGGGGCACGATAGCTTCGAAAGGCAGGGCTCAAAGGGTTAAAATTATCTTAATCACAAAAAGAATGTGAAAAACCTGGACACACCAACCTTAGCAGCAGCTGCTCTTCCTTTCCTCAGCATGAGATATTTCTGAAACATTCTGTTCATGAGGACTTCTGCTCCCTCAGAGAGGTACTGTAAGACAGAATGACATCAGTGTACACAGCAGACTGCTAATGAGATGATAATAATAATAATAATAATAATAATAATAATAATAATAATAATAATAATAATAATAAAAATAATAATAATAAAAATAATAATAATAAAAATTAAAAAAATAATATTACAAATAATAAAAATAATAATATTAATAATAATAATAATAATAATAATTATTATTATAGTAAATTGCATTTATATATTGCTCACCTCTGGCGTTGACCAGATGACAAGGGCATGTGGTTACTCGAGGGAGGCATTGCGCTGCTAAGAGCGAAATGCTCGCAGCTAAAGGGATTTGAAAACAACAACAACAACAACATATAGTGCTCTATCCCATTCGAGTAAAATCTCAGAGCTGACATTGCTTTGATTTCGACTTCATTTGACAGGGACAATGAAGATCATCATCAGCTTGCACCAATCAACAAAAACGATTGTCAAAGAAACTCTTGTGTATTTGAGAGTCTCATAAGGTACATTAGACAGAATGCAAACACATTTATCGAACCCAGTTTTTACAGCTTTCTGAAAAGAAACCCATACAGCGCATACGTAATATAGTTCTTTTTTATAGTGTTTATCAGGACCTTTAAAAAATTATATCTCACTGTCGGGATTCATTTAATGTAACATGTAGATAATTCTAAGATGGTCATTCATATCATTAGGGATGTTATACTGCTAGTCCTAGCCTTTAGTTGATAACTGGCCCATAACATCTTGTTTCCCTGACGAATAAGGACACTAACTTAAGGCTAGGACTACCATCATAATCTTCATATATAATACTGCTGAATAACAATTATCATCTATAAGAAAAACAAAGCGACAGACATAGATGACCAACAAAAAACATACTACGAGATTATATCCACTCAACATTGCACACACCTCTTTTCTGGTTATAGCAAAAGTTTTACAGCACTTGCAACACACTAAGGTCATGTAAAAGCCGAAGATTAAAGGTGTTACAAAAGAGTAGTAAACACAAAAAAGAAGGAGGGGAAATAAAGACGATACATGCTTAACAGGAAAAGGGCAGCACATGACACCACCAACACACACACACCTCTTTCAGCTGACTACAGGTACGGTCATCCTCTGCACAGACCAGCACTCTGTAGCCTGTGTCCAACACCCCATCGTTGTCCACGCCCACCTCACACATGGAGTCCTCGTCCTCTGCAATCTCCGCCAGAATCTCGGATAAAGCTTGCCACTTGGGACAAGGCTCCAGGCTTGTCGTCACATCTGAATAGAGTTGGGTTTAGGCTTAAGAGGAGAACATTGATGTAATGACCATTGTGGAGAGCTAGAAAAATGGATCACCACGGACAGAGAAAAATGAAGAGAAACAAAAAAGGTGCAAGCTACTAAAAAAAAGGTACAAGCTACCAATGGCACTTTATAATCACCAAAAAAAACCACCCAGTTAGACCTCTGAAAAGAAAAGAAGGAATGTGAGTTTGAGGTTCTGACAATATTTATGAAGTAGTTCAATGACAATATAAATGGTACATTTGAAAAGCTGACCCCAGAAATTCTAGAATCAGCTCCCTGAGGACCATTTAAAAATACACAAATAGAAGATTACAGAGAATGGATTACAGGATTAATAACTTTTTAAGATTCTGCAAAGACTGCTCAGTTCACTTTCAGCAAAATTAAGTGCCACTCAACCTGAACAGTGCTAATATGAAAGAATTGATGAGATGCATGAGTAGAGTACAGGACTCAGGAAGAGACTTTGCCTTAGTACCTTCATCATCACTCTCTTCTCCTCTTTGTTCTTCATTCTTGTCTTCCATTTTCTTCTGCTTCTTGCCTTTTTCCTTCTCCCTGAACTTGACACTGCCATACACTCTTTCCCTGGCATGCTAATTAAGAAGAAAAAAAAAGCATTTAAACAGAATCGAAAACATCACAGTCAAACTAGTTTGTTTTTTAAACTCATTTTTATCTATCTTAATATACAAATAAAAAAGATAAGAAAGGTAAACCTCTTTCTCCTCCTTCTTTTATACTAATCAACATTATACACTGTAAAGGAGAATAACAGAGCTATTTACCATTTCTTCATGATGGCACTGAAGTTCATGCTAAGAACACAACACATTCTTTACAGTGATAAATGAAGGAGGTAAGGATTGACGGGTTGAGATCAAACAGATGTTGAATGAAATAAAAAGTATAAGCTTCATAAAGAGTGACAATTCAAGGCAATAATGGTGAATTAGAGGCGGGAAAGGGGGGATGAAGTACAAAAAGAAAATATAAATAGAACAATAGTGAGATTTACCAATCAAACGATCAAGCCGTCCACAAACTAAGTATTAAATACTATAAGAGGATGGTCACCACAAATTACCACAAATAAACTGTCAGCTGCATCAAGGAATAGCCAGCCCGTGTTGTGTGCAAATGACTTCTCGTTTGATCTGAAAAAGAGATGCATAAAAAAGAAACAATGGGAGGACGTGATAATATTGTTCAGCTCACGCCTTCCCCATTCAACGATAAAAGCCACCCCCCCCCCCCCACCCAAACCCCCCCCTCCCTTAGAAACCCCAACTCAACAACAACTTAAATTAACAACTTAAAATTTTTTTAAACCCTTTAAAAAACTCTCCTCAAACAATAAATCACAAAATAAAGAAATAATTATATTATTTTCAGATGATCACAAAGAAAAGAAATTGATCATGGAGTTTTTAAATTATTTCTGTTGATACCATTAAATCTCAAATGAATATAAACTGAAAAATTAACTTTGTAACATGCTTGTCTGTTATTATGAAGAGACAGGATACAGAAGAAGCGAAACTAACACACGTTTACACCACAAATACACCTACCTGATAGACTGCAGAAAGCTGTGGAATGTCACACAGTCATACTGTGTTAATTGCCTGCAAGCAAGTGGGAAAAAAATTGTTTGTGTTAATAATACCACTTTGTTTACAGTGGAGGACACGATTATGACTTTACCGCATCCCTGAATTAAAAAAACAAAAACGACTCAATTTTACAAAAATACTAGCAATCCCATACAAAATACTCATTCATAACTGATGAAAAGATTTGCTTAAAACCATTGCTTATTGATAATATCTTGGCAAGTATTTAAGCCTCCCTGCACAAGGAAAACTTGGATTTGATTTCTCTCCTGAACACAGGCAGGAAGTGGTTAATCGTTGAGGCAGCCAAAGATTTTAAAGAAATTATAACGTTTAAATAAATTATTAGGGCTATTAAGAGTTAGATCTGAGAATGTGATGACCCTGGATATTAGAGAGCAAAAGAACAAGAGAAGAAAAAAACAAACAGACAACAGTCACAACAGGGCTCACTGACCAGAGGCAGCCATGAGCTACACAGGACGCTTACAAAAAGTAACATTTGGCACACAGTACCACATAGCTGCACCATTACAGCTGCTGTATACACTTGTTTTCATCAAAATAAAATCTTACAAAGTGAGCCAATTGTGTAAAATGTATGTGTAAATGAGGTAGAGTGCGAGTGTACACTTTTTCTGTGTACATGTAAAAGAGAAAACAATAAAAAGCTTGTGAACATGTGTGTTTGGTTATACAGTGCTACCTGAGTATGAGCCTGATAGTCTTGAGGTCAGAGACCAACTGCCTGGTCCTGACACTGAGTTGGTGCCACAAGGGTTCCAGCTGGAGGCGAATGAGAAGGTCAAAGGATTTTGACAAAGCATTCTCAACAGTGATCTCATCCATATCAATCTGGAAAAAGAAGAATCAGTCATATTAATAAATATGCACTCAGTGAGAACTAAAAAAAGGGAATAAATATGCTATCTATATAAATTATATGCTATCACTATTTTTTTTTAAATAGTAGAAAAAAATTTAATGTGATTTCAGATAGGAACAAAGTGTTTTTGTTAAGCATAAACTTACGCTAGGATTGGATCTTTTGAGCTCTGCAATGCAAGCGTTGATGATATCCAACAGGGAGGTCTGGCAAGCAGTCATGGCTGGGGTCAAATGTTGGTGAACTTCCACTACATCAACCTGCAAAAGTCATGGGACACAAGCTAGGCGATCATAAATCAGGCAGCGCAGCCCAAGAACTACACACCTTGCTTGTGGGCTGGCACACCGGCCGCTCAGGCTTCGGCCCACAGCAAGCAGTGACCTTCGTAATGATAATAATGATTACAACGGCCACGGCTAGGCGGTCTCTTTCTCCCTCTCCCCTTCTCTCTCTCTCTCTCCTCTCTCTCTCTCTCCCTCTCAATCTCTCCCTCCTCTCTCTCTCTCTCCCTCTCTCTCTCTCTCTCCCTCTCAATCTCTCTCCCCCCTCTCTCTCTCTCCCCCCTCTCTCTCTTTCTTTCTCTCTCTCTCTCTCTCTCTCTCTCTCTCTCTCTCTCTCTCTCTCTCTCTCTCTCTCTCTCTCTCTCAATGGTTTAGCTTCCCTGTGTTTGTGTTCAAACTAACGGACATGTAAAAAATTATTCTAGACAGACAAAAGCGATGGAAAGACAGAAAGTTGACTTGAGTTAGAGTTGTACGGAAATGGAGGGCACACACTGATATGTTTTGACACCTTTTCATAGGATAAAATGTTTGGTAAGCTAGCAGTCCATGCCCGACATTCTGTTTCATCCGAAGGAAATCCATACAAGGTCACTTTTTCTGCACCTTTCTGACTGTCATAACCAGTTTTGCATCCACAACTGAGCATTTTCTTCCCATTGTTGTTCTTATTCCTTCAGTTTATTTTGAAGGTGTCAGTCACAGTCCAACAGAGTCATAACCACACATGATGAAAGCAATAAATAGTCCTAGAAGAGAAGCATGTAAGCACTGAGAAAGAACAGCAGATATTAATATATACAAAGCAGTCGGGAAAAACACAAAGGAGCTCCCCCCTAATTATGATCCGTATACTTTTCCCTACCTAACAAGGGTGGGCCCCTAGACGCCCAGCGTCTAGATATATAGATTTATATCTACATGGTCCTTTTAGTCTATTGTTTGTGTTACAAACTAATCTAAATCTAAAAGTAGATCTAGGGATAGGATGGAGAGTTCGTTTTTAGTGGTTGTTTGCATAGAGAGGCTCTAAGTCAGTGAAGAGTGTGCGGATCAGGAGGGGGGCCTCCACTGTGTAGACATGGATTTTAGACAGATATGAATTAAACTTGCACGGTCAAAACTTCACTGTAGGTTTAATCTAAACACGTACACTGATGGAAGAGATATTTGATATTCACACAATCCAGATGATTTGAAAAAAAAACAACTGCATTAGGCCTCAACTAAATGAATCCAGGCATTCACTGAGTACGATGGCGATGAAGAATCTGAAAATGAACAGTAGGCCTACAGTGCAGCCAAACAGCACTTCAAATTTGCGATCTCAAAACTGTTGGTCAGTCTTAATTAATTAATTAATTAGTCACCACTTCTGTTCCTCAACACACACAATGATGTAGAAAATATTCACATAATCCAGATGACTTGAAAAGCAAACTGCATTAGGCAGAAATAAACCAGTGTCAAAGCATGAGCAAACAACAATTCAAACTGACCGCCGCACCCTGCGTAGGCTTATCACTACTAATGATCTACAAGGTTGTGGGCCTACTACACGGGTGTGTCAGCCCACAAGGAATCTAGGTCAGGAGCGCGCAGGTGGCCTGATTATATGACCGTATAGGACACAAGCATAGTCTTCATTTTCATTCTTTGAATGCCATGACTTACGATCTCAATTGATAACATTCAAAATCCTAAATTTTGAGTCACACAAACCAGAAAACTAGTTAACTGCACTAACACAGTGAATTTAATTAATTAACCCTTTGATCCCTGAGCTCCTTTGCTACCGTTCCCCTGTGCCTGAGCTCCTGAGCGATATATTACTAACATTCATATGAACGTCAGAATCACATTCCATATCCCACTCTGGGTAGTCCTCATCATTACTGGTAATCTGACTCAGACAGATCTTCAATAAAACCTGTGGCTAATGCTCACTGGGTTAAATTATGGAAAATCGTTACATCACCGTCAACAATATTCATGACATTTCACCATTCACTTATTTATTAGAGCTTATCAATAAACCCACACAAATGTCAGTAGATATTACAAATTACAAAAGCACACGCTGAGGCTTGAGAGAAAGTGAATTTGAATGTGTACAAGTGTGCATAAAAACAGATGCGTGTGACTTTTTGACGGTGGGCTCGTTTAGAAAGTGGATTCAAACTCATTCGTATTTGTTCCATTGTAGAACAACGTGTGAAGAGTGTGTAATTTTCATGGCAAAGTGCTCTCAGCAGTAAAAAAAACTACTGGTAATGCTATTTAAAAATGCAATACATTCTTTTGTTTACTTATTGCAGTTACCTTGTGTTTGTTGAAGCAGGTCACCACACTGGCCTGGAACCGAGGCCACAGAAACAGTTTCTTCACAAACAAATTCTTCATCATGCGTTCCACCTGGCAGAAGCCTCTAGTGAAAGCTTCAGCGTTGTCAGTGAAAGCTTTGATGAATCCTGTCTGCAAAAGAAAGGGGAAGTTGTCTCCATCAGCATTGTGCCATTGTCTTAGTGCCTTTGTAGAACAATTAGATCAGTTCAGATGTGGCATCAACAGACTGACTGAGCTGCTTGTAAATGCAACATTACTCTGACAACTTCGGTATAATTCTACAAGTAATCCATGTTCTAGGTAGTTAATGTTATTCTGTATATCTTTAATAATCAATAGATGGATCTGAAATTGAGAAAACAGGTCGAGTCCATCCCTGTGATTACAGTAGCTTACACTCCATTTTCTGACAGCACAAAATCTCTCTGTACTGCGCTTCCACTCAAAAAACACCTCAACAATAAACTAGACAGAGCCTTTTCAATTTGAAGAATACCGTACTGTTGTCAGCAATAGAGACACTAACAGCTGATATTTTCAAAAACGATATTGCATTTTGCCTCACCTTGTTCTTTTCTCGATACAGTCGAAGTATGAAAGCTTCCTGGCAAGACTCGATGATTCTGTGAATTTTAAATAAAGAACTTCCACAGTTTTAAAGATTTCAGCACTGGGTATCCTTCTCTCTCTGAGCAAAAATTAGAATAAGAAGCTCAAATACAGTTTCCAAGAAGGACAAAAGCTAAGCTCCCCCCCCCCCTCGATTATCAAACATCTGTAATGCAACACAAATTATGGAAGTTAATAAAATATCCTCAAATGATCAAAATTGTTTCATGCAATAAACTACTGTGTGAAGCAAATATACCTCTTCTTTCTATCTAATCTGCTTCTGGGAGAAGAGGCATGATGATGCTTTCTTTCCCTAGAAGATGGATAAAAACAATGAGACATTTCCAACACCTCAGTACAATTCAGTGACATTTCCATGCAATCAACGTAAGAGCCAATACTCCACTGTATTAATTCTTACTCATAGAGTTCATAGAGAACCCTAATATATCTTTTAGTTAATTATTCACTTACTTGTGAGCTCTATAGACCATGATGCCAGTCACGTGACTCACTGGCACTCGGTCAGTCAGCAGATCAACCACCAGAATCCTTGACGTGATGAAGAGGACGCCTCCTTCCATATATGTTGTCTGCCTGCGGGTGCACAGATTTCGATTTGAACATCACAAACAAGAAAATCTGTATTGTTCAGATTAAACACAACATTTTCCAAATAAAATATAAATCCCAAGCTCGATTTACCTTACATTACTTTACTGAAGGAAAACTTTTCTTTTACAAATACAAAATACTGACATGTTCTCGAAAATTTACACAATTTAGCACCAAAATATCTTTTCCTCCTTCATGTCAAATATGTGATCTGAACAAGTTAGCCACTAATGGAATATGCTTTACAAACTCTTAACCAAACATACCTGTCTGTAGCATTGATCTCATTGGTGATTATTCTGGGCACTTTTGATATCCCATGTTTCTCCAACTGCTCCGTAAAAAAGTTCTTCAGGAGAGAGAAAAGGAAGGGGGGGGGGGGGGAGGGGGGGTTGAAAGAGTTGATGAGAAAGTAAAAAAAAGTAAACTTGAATATAGCCTGATGTTTCTCACAGCAAATTGCAAAAAATGCAAAAATGGAGGACAATTCCGCACAACCAAAATTACGAAAGAAAATTGAGAAAGTGAATCTTATGCCATCCACCAAAGTCAAAGTATGATTTAATAATCTTTGACTGCTCATATCTTTTTAAAAAACTACTTTCTGTTCCTCATAGGCAGGGGTAATTCGTTCACTGGGCAAGTCCGGCGGACATGAGAGAGATTTATTGCTGTGATAATAAATTTAATTCAGTTTCAAGTAAATCTTGTCTAATATTAACATTAAAAAACTGTCGATTTCGAGGCGCCTAAAAAAAAGACAATAAGTGTTCACCAACATATTGTCGCACTACAGAGACTCTTTCCTCCATCTCTGTTTCATCACCTCTGGCGGACAACTTTGTTGCCACTGCCTCTTATCACAACGTGCAACTCCGTGTGAATGTCGTGCCAAGTCGGCGATTTCACAAACTGCCCACAAAGCGCAAAGAGTAAGCCTTTGCAGATGTAGGTATAACAAAAATAGAGAGTATGTGTCTGCCTGTGTTGGGGGGAGGGAGGGGGGGTTGATGTGAGCAACAGCCAGTCAGTTCTAAAGACCACCAGCCGCCCCTGCTCATAGGTATCACAAAGAAAAGATTTACTTCTCTCTTTGTAGATCTTCATGATGGAGTACTTAGCTCTCCATAGGTGATGCTGTGGATGCCATTAAGACAACAGCATCCACAGTGTCACACTCTACTGTCCTGGATCACCAATCCTCTCCACTCATAAAACGTTTTGGACATATTCATTATGATTCAAAGTTTAGCCCATAAATGAAAAGCCCATGAATGGAAATGACTATCAAAATCATTTGAAGTCTGTTAAAAATTGAAGTTACTTTTCCTGTGAATGGAAAATTAAATGTCTGCACACTGACAAATGAGCAAGACTGTAGTAGTATAGACAGAGACAATAAAAGAGAAAAGAAGGAAACAAACTTATATGACATGTTACGGGATGAAATTATGACATTTAAAAAAAAAAAAAATAATGAAAACACAGCACTAGAGCAAATGATTGGCAAATGTACTCCTGACAGAAATATAAATCTAATTTTATTGAATAGTTAGAGATACCTCATCAGCAGGGGTGGTATTTAACACAAGCACTAGGCTTGCTGGGTCACTGTAAACCTTCAAGAATTCTGTAAACAATCTGCTGAGTCCCAGACCCCTGGAAACAAGAAAAAACCAAACAAATTCAACAGAAGAAGCAAAGTTTTAATTCAAGTAGAAAATGTTTAAGGAAAGAAAAGGGAAAAAATATCTAAAGCAAAAGCTAATAAGACAACTGTCATAAAAGTTAAAAGTCCATTATGCAAAATCAAAATTTCACAAGCATTTTGTTGTACAACTCCAATGAAAACATTGAAAAGTATGTTTGCCGAAACAACAACCTTACTATACATTGATTCTTGAATTTTTAATACTAAATAATTACCACTGTACCATTTAAAGAACCTCTTTTGTCAACATTCTATTTTGTAACAAACCAAGAAAACCAAATATGACCAGACACAACATTACCTAGACATAACAAGAAGACCATCATCATGAAAAGCATCCAAGAAGATTTGATTCTCGTAGTCCAACATTTTTGTGACTTTTGAGAGTTACAATCAGTTCTTTGTTCATAGTACCTCACTCCATGATTGTAGGTTTTAAAAAAAACTCATCTGAAAATAAAACAATCACACAATCACCAGGGTTAATGAGGCAAGAGCACGGATAATTCCCCTTGATGTCTGACATTGGTCTATATATTAAATATAGTTAGAGCCAATGACATTCAATGAATTCAAAAACAGTGGACTGAGTATGCTTTTGATTTACAGTTGATTACGAAAATGTATATATATATGATTACTATTACTGGTTAAAGCTGGATAAAAATTGGTGAATGCCATCAAAAGTTATCAGCACAACAACAAAAAAACAAAAAAGAAAAGAGATTATATATAGTTTTACAATACACATATGATATATAATATATTGTGTGTGTCTGAAGAAAGACCCCAGTCGTAGGAAAGTTTGGATTTTGAAACAAGGACATATATATAGTGTGGATAGTGTTTAAAAAATTGTCAATATTTCTTGAGTGTGTTTTTAAAGAATGACACATTTCGTAACATAGAGTGTAAAGAAAAAAAAAGACTGTAGGCAGAGACAATAAAATTGCTGACCCAATTTTTAGCACATTTTTAACACATTTGGTGAAGTACAACATACTGCAAAATTAATTAATTTAAAAGATATTTCTATACAAAAATATAATGATAAAATACTGTCTAATGTTATTGTTTTGAAATGGGTTAAAACATGATTTCTGATGGAACTAAAAATTTTTGACCAGAGATGACTTTTCTGGCCTTTTCAGCCTGTTGCTCAAACAAAGCTCTGCCAACAATTGGGACCTTTCTCCACGCATGTGTTATTATGATGTTTGACCAATAAGCTGACAATCTTGAGAAGAGTATAGAAGAAGGGTACAATTTTTTACTTTCCCTCCTGTCTCACACTTATAAAGTTACCAGAGAGTTGTTCATTTTATCCTATCTTAACTATTACAAAAAAGTCAAGGAACAAAAATTCAAAGAAAGACAACTGAAGAACAGTTTAACCGAATTTATCCATTTTTTCAAAAAAGATGCTTTCGACTCTTTAGTGTATAATTTCAGATTTCAACAAAAACGAGAAGTTCATGTTAAATGAGTTTAAGTCACACTGGTCGGATTTCAAAAGTCTGAACAGCCATAGTTCTTCATGAACAATGTCAATAGTGGGTGTAGCCACTCCGTTTGATCAAACACTCGGCACAACGTCGACGCATGGACAGGACATGCCTACGGAGAACTTGTTGTGTGGGTTCTTCCACTCCAGGATGAGGCAGCCCAGGAGTTGTTGAAGGCTTTGTGCAGGAGGGTGGTTGTCCCTTATATCCACTGGTCAATGTGATCCCGAATGTTCTCTCTTGGGTTCAAATCCGGACTACAAGCTGGTCAGTCCATGTGGGTGACAGTTCGCTGCTGAAGGAAGTTCCCCACGATGCATGCGCGATGTGGCGCGGCGTTGTCGTCCTGCAGTACAGCCAGGGGTCTGATCTGCTGCAGGAGAGGAACAGTAAGGGGATGCAGGATTTCCTCCCTGTACCTTGCGGAGGTCAAACTGCCCTGGGTACAGGGGGTCTTGTGGTGAGCTGAGAAGCCTCTCCACACCAGAACAGACCCTCCACCGTAGGGCGCCACCTGCAGGATGAACTCAGGGTGGAACCGCTCTCCTCGGCACCTCCAGGCGTGGCTCGTCTGTCTGTGTGCAGCAGGTTGAATCTAGATTCGTCCGAGAAGATTACCTGGTCCCACTGACACTGCGTCCACTGTGAATGACGAGCTGACCATGCCCGGCCAGCTGCTTTGTGGGGCGGCGTGTGCCTTGGGCGCCTGGCAGGGACACAAGAAGCGAACTTGGCTCTACGGATACAGTTCCTTATCATCTCCTCGCTCTCGTGGACATTGGCTGTCACCCGTAGTTGGTCTCTGATGCCGTTTTCAGAAGTGGTTTTAGACGTCACGGCCTGTCTGACGATGAACCGGTCGATGCTGTCGTTAGTCAAACGGAGCGGCCCTGGTCGAGGACTGTTCGGGACCCTCCCAGTCGCTCGCCATCGTTCTTGCAGCCTGTATATGAATATGACTGATGGGGACACCCCAAGTTGATGTGAAACGACTGGGAACGTGGAGCCATCTTGGAGCCAGGCAAGGGCTCATCCTCTGTCCACGTCAGGCGGCGAGCGTCGCTGGACCATCGTGTTGTAATGAATTAAACATTGCAGAAAAACGCTGGCTTATAAAGGGTTGTTTGTAAGAGAGCAATATTCACACCTAAGGCATCGGTTTGATACGTGCCAAGCTTAGTTTTAGCTAACAGTCCCTATGCCAATGTTGCTGAAGTAGAGAAAGTTAGCCCATTTTTCATGCTTTTTGGCTGTGTTTCAGAATGCCCTGCGCCGTCACTGTGAAGCTGGAGCGGGCGAATTTGCTGGGGCAAACTGGGTCTAGTTGTCAGTACGTGTGCCAAGTTTGGTTGTCTGATCTACAGGTATGGGAGATATTGAAGTTCAAATTTGACAGGTCAAATCACAAGTTGTTCCTTGACTTTTTTCGGCGAGTTTAGAGTATATTGATGCGCTAAACACAAATCAACTTTATTTTTGTTGCAAATTAATAGTTTTTGAAATATTTGATGGTTGAATTTTTAATCAAGTTGCTCTATAATATATCAAAAACCCTGTAGTAATTTGCATGCATTGGACCAATCGGCGGGGGGGAGAGGGGTTCACGCAGGCCTGCCCCATTGAAGTAAAAATAAAATTGCAGACTGGGGGATATGCCGCCCTGTTTTAACCCACAATAAGTTTGAATTTGATATTTTGTATCTTGGTTTTAAATTTTCTTGAAAATAAATTGATTTGTGCCAGTTTTAGTGGCTTTGGCCTTCTAATACGTGTAATCTTGCAGCAGCTCAAGAAACAATACTTACGGTAGTTTGACCTCCGAAGCAGTGCATGCAGGAGTAGAAATTTACCGAAGAAGAAAAAAATAATTACTGACGATTGATTTGATCCGATAGTTTTAGATCTAGAAATCTATATATATCTAGATCTAGGATTCTAGGACGTTTATTTGGGCTAGCTTTCTTCAGAGGAGTTACTAGAATAGATCTAGATCTATATATATAGTTATACGAAGTGGCTAGCCATACTTAAGTACGGCTAGACTGCCAGTCTAGCCGTACTTAGATCTAGGTTTGGCCCTATCGACTCAAGCCTGTTAAGTACACAAGTCTCATTAGATCTAGATATCTAGATCTAGATGTAATTATTCAGGTTCAAATACATGCAAGTCAGTAATGTACCTTTTGGTTTTGTCTGAAATACAAACTTTAGGTATTGCAAACTAAAAATTTCATTTACAATTCAGCCATCAATATTAAGTACGGCTAGCCTGACAGTCTAGCCGTCCTTAAGTACGGCTAGCCTGGCTGTCTACCCGTACTTAAGTACGGCTAGACTGCCAGTCTAGCCGTACAAGGCCCTGTTAACATTAGAAAACAGGAGGTTTAAAATGCATGCACTGTCATTAAGGCACCTGGTTTTGTCTCAAATACACAAATACTTTAGGTACTGCACACTAAAAATGTATATTTACAATTCAGTAGGCCTATTTTTTGTAAATTATGGTCAGTCTAGCCATCATATTAAGAATAAGTAGGCTAGACTGCCAGTCTAGCCGTCATTAAGTACGGCTAGCCTCTTCCATAGTTATATAGGTTATGTCACATAGTAAGTTCAACAAATAAGTAGAATCTAATGAGTCAATTGACTCAATAAAAATAAAAGTTAAAAAAGCCTCGCCGAGGTTCACCCTCCTCGGGTCCCTCACAATTCAATAGAGTAGGAGTAGGCTACGAGGAGGCCTTCGCTGCGGCTGGATGGATTCTCCAACAGGAGGCAAAGTTCTTTCTTTACGATTACTGATACAGCTGGTGGATTTCCTCTAAGCTCGAATAAATAAATTCAGCTCAGCAATGGTATCTTCAGTTCATACATTGTTCCAAGGGGGGAAAAGACCGACAGCTTGATTGACTATGATGCCATATTAATTATAAAACTGCTGAAACTGTAAAACGAAAATGCAACAGAACAGAATCTCTTTCATAGGTCTACTCTTCTACGCCAAAAGGATGAAGAAAGTTAGAACCGGAAGCTGTTCTTTCGCATGGCGTCCATTTGTATCGTCCATCATGCCGAAAACACGCCGCAGCAAAGGCAAAGCTGCGAAAAGTGAAGAAGCCTTTGGAGAAGGATTATTTGATGTCTTTGGAGATTCATCCGGTCAGAATGAAGAGAAAGGAGCATCCCAGGAGACAACTGAGGAGTCCAAGTATGTGGTGCCGTCTCTAATCTAGACAAGAAATTTGGGGAGGACTTCCGTAACGAGCGACCACTATGACTCCTGTATGACATGAGACAGAGCAGAATTGAGGGCTTGGGGTAGGGGTAGGGGTTAGGATAGGGTTAGGGTTAGGTCTAGGCCTCTTCTTTATTGTGTTTGATGGGGTGGTCACTCGTTACGGAAGTCCTTCCCATAAACGAAGTGATTATTCGGACTCGAGTCCGAGAATATGAAAACGAAGTGTATAGAATCTAGTATACACATGCGATTAAAAGTAGAAATGATGCAAACTATTTTTAGGTAAGGCGCCCATCTTGTTTGACGTCAGACCAGGATACCCCTCCGATCACGTGACTGCATCTAAGTATAGACAACCGCATGGCACCAAAGATGGAAGTGTCTATGTATATTATGCTATCTACACAAATTTCTCGGAATTTCTGATAGCTGATTTGATAGCGCGTCTGCGTTTGATGTCGAGCAATGACTTTTGGAGCGGTTCGATTCCGGTCCCGGACAGTTTTTTTTTCTCATTTCCTCCTCCCGACTGACCAACAGTTCCATAAATTATAGGCCTAATTTGTAGAGTTGCTTTGACTTTGAAGTTGTTGTTTATTTTAAAAAATGTATTAGTGATTAAAAATGCAGGAGGGGGTGGTAGATCTAAATTTAGATCTAGATCTAGATCTAAATTTAGATATCTAGATCTATATCTAGATCTAGATCTAATCTAGAATCTAGATCTAGATCTAGATTCTAAATCTAGATCTAGAGTCTAGATCTAGAAAATCCGAAATGTTACCGAAAACACATCGTTCCATGTTTGGGTATCCCAGGAAGTGCTGACATCACATTACTAAAATAAGCAGCCAATCAGAAAGATGCGTCATTTCTAAGATTAACGGCATGTAGTGTATACAGTACAGACCCGACCCGGTAACCGGGAACAAAGTCACGAAGTAAGTATACAGACGCGGTAGGGGAACTCTTTTGTGATTTCGGAAAGTTTCAGCGCCCAGACCTGGTAGTGCGTGTGTGTGTATGTGTGTGTGTGTGAGAGAGAGAGAGGTGCTAGCAAAATGTCCCCTGTGAAAGTGGCTTCTCACCCGCCCGGAAGTTCTCGCAAGATCAACTCCTCCCCTCTTCTCTCTCTCTCTGTCTCTTTCTGAATACTGTCTATCGGTGTGGACGATCAAATTGACCAAAACAAAGTTAAAAAATGATGTTAAAACACAAAAGTAAATAAATTTGGTTGTCTACAAAGATGCTACGGCTATTTAACTTTTCGAATCGAGCCGAACTACGCGGGTCGCCATTTTGTTTTGCCCGGAAATTCTCGCGCTACTCCTCTCTCTCTTTCTCTCTCTCTCTCCACTGCCCACAGACAAAATTGTACGCTTTTAGTAGGCTACAATTGTAATGGAACGTTTGTTCACGGCACAGAATTCTACAATTTTTCTGTTATCACAGTGCAGAATTCTGTGGTTTAGGGTGAACGCAAAATTTGGTGAACGCGCACCGGGTGAGAATAGCCACAAGACTCGCCTGCACTATTCTCACTCCGGGTGAGAATAGAGGTGGCCCCCCCAGTTGGCAGGAGGGAACGAGAGAAAGATAGAGTGGGAAATAGGTGGGGAGAAAGAAAGATAGAGACAAAGAAAAAGAGAAGGCGAGCGATACAGAGAGAGAGAGAGACTGCTCGATTGAAATTATGACATTATTCTTTTCTTCAAATTGTGATTTCTCCAACTCCAAAACGGAGGAAAAATGATCGGTCATCGAAAAGACATCCGCAATCTTCATTTAGATCTAGATCTAAGCTAGCCTCGAAACCAGATCAATGATTTATGTCTGTCTGTCTAGATCTAGATCTAAGCTAGCCTAGATTCTAGGCCATAGATCTCTAGAAGGACCTAGGTCTTCCCTTAGTGTAGAATTCTGTGGTCTGCCCTGAGCCAAGAGGGCGCTGAAACTTTCCGAAATCACAAAAGTTGAAAAGAGTTCCCCTACCGCCTACCGGGTCTGTAAACTTTGTGATTTTGTTCCTGGTTACCGGGTCTGTACACTCCCATATGAAAAACGAAGTGTATACAGACCCGGTAACCAGGAACAAAATCACGAAGTATACAGACCCGGTAGGGGAACTCTTTTGTGATTTCGGAAAGTTTCAGCGCCCAGACCCGGTAGTGTGTGTGTGTGTGTGAGAGAGAGAGAGAGAGAGAGAGAGAGAAAAATATGTGGGGAGAAAGAAAGTCAGAGACAAACAAAGAAAAAGAGAAGGCCACCTCTCTTCTCACCCGGGGTGAGAATAGTGCAGGCGAGTCTTGGCTATTCTCACCCGGTGCGCGTTCACCGTTATAGCCTAGATCTAGGCCAACAAATTTTGCATTCACCCTAAACCACAGAATTCTACACTGTGATAACAGAAAAATGGTAGAATTCTGTGCCGTGAACAAACGTTCCATTACAACTGTAGCCTACTTTAAAAAGCGTACAATTTTTGTCTGTGGGCAGTGGAGAGAGAGAGAGGAGTAGCGCGAGAACTTCCGGGCAAAACAAAATGGTGACCCGCGTAGTTCGGCTCGATTCGAAAAGTTAAATAGCCGTAGCATCTTTGTAGACAACCAAATTGAATTAATTTACTTTTGTGTTTTAACATCATTTTTAAACAGTTTTGATCAATTTGATTGTCCACACCGATAGACAGTATTCAGAAAGAAACAGAGAGAGAGAGAAGAGGGGAGGAGTAGATCTTGCGAGAACTTCCGGGCGGGTGAAAATAGCCACTTTCAAAAGAGAATGCAAGCGATACACAGAGACAGAAGAGAGAGAGAGAGAGAGTTACTGCTCGATTGAAATTATGACATTGTTCTTTTCTTCAAATTGTGATTCCTCCAACTCCAAAACGGAGGAAAATCGATCGTTCACCGAAAAGACATCCGCAATCTTCATTTAGATCTAGATGTAGGCTAGCCTCGAAACTAGATCTATGATTTATGTCTGTCTGTCTAGATCTAGATCTAGACCTAGACCTAGGCCATTCTAGAACTAGAAGAACCCAGGTCTACCCTGAGCCAAGAGGGCGCTGAAACTTTCCGAAATCACAAATGAGTTCCCCTACCGGGTCTGTATACTTTGTGACTTGGTTCCCGGTTACCGGGTCTGTATACACTCCCTATGAAAAAATGTTATTCGGACTCTGATTCTTGTCCAGCATGACATCACTTCTGGCTTCCTGTCCTGCCTCACTCGTGACTCGCCTCAGGCTGGGTAGAGACCAGGATCACTTCGGGCAAAATGGCGTTTTGTGCAGGAGCCGAGTTTTTATCTTATGATGAATTTGTGGCCGGCCTGAAAAGTTATAGCGCTTCTAATAAATGTTTATTTGTCAAAAAGTCATCAGAAGCAATTAAAGATGGCTCGTTAGTGTGTGTCGGGGTCGGATGGGCAGCCTGCACACGTGTGGCTGTGTGCGTGTCGGGGAGGGGGGTGGGGGGGCACTATCGGTCCGGGCATTGAACGTCGCATACGCATGATCAGTCTTTTTCCCCCCGACAACTGATCATTATTACAATAATAAGCTAGTCTTGACGTAGGTCTACATAATGAATTGTGCGCTGGTCTATGGAATCAAAAGTTGCCGTATGCTGAGCTCTACACAGCAACACAACATTTTCTTGGTAAATGTGTAATACAAGCGTGTGCGTGTGATAAGCAAGTAGGTGTGTGTTTGGCATAAATGTGTGCGTGTTATAAATGTGTTCGTGAGTGTGTATGCGTGTGTTTGTGTGTCGCGTGCATGAATATTGTTGGTACATGCATTTATGTATAGAGCGCCTAGAGCTGTGTTTACACGGGAGTGGGCGCTATAGAATTTATCTTCATTATATTATTAAACAATCGAGATGACACCGGCTTGTGTATTTGAACGAATCGGCCTTTTTTTTTTACACAACTCATAATATGCAGGTGCCAGGTGGTCTGCTAATCTTCAATTTTACCTTTTTCTACAACAAAGAAAGTGGGAAACGTGGGAGGGGGGGCGTATCAATGAGGCGGCGGGCATCGGATCGGCAGAAAAGGTGTGGGGGGGGACTAAAAAATGGCGGAAAATTGGAAGCACTGAACGTTAGATCTATAGAACGAAGACACTTCCTTTTTTACGGACCCGGGTCCGAATAACATTTCTTCATATTCGGACTCTAGTCCGAATAAGAATTTTTAAAATTCGGACTCGAGTCCGAATATTATGAAAAAATGTTATTCGGACTAGATTCCGAATAAAGACGGCAAACTAAGATTAAATCTGTCTCAGTACTCTCGTCTCAGGCTCAGGGAGGCTCTCTCTCTACAAAACACATAGCCTATTCTGTCGTCTGCTTTATCTCCACATTTTGCCCGCATGCGATTAAACATAGAACGACGCATCTTCCTGCTTCGGGGGTCAAACAGTACTGCAGTAGATCTACTGTTTGGTGCAGATCTCACATAATAATGTGTGTAATTGGGTCGGATTGGGTTCCGCACGTTGTAGTCTTACAAAGAAGAAACGGTAAATTTTTACTTTCACTCCCGCACACAGATGCACTGCTTCAGTGGTCAAACTGCTGTACTGTTTGCTGCAGATCATATTTTTCATACATAAAGCCCCTAAAACTGTCGCAAATTAATTATATTCAGGAAAATTTCAAATCTAACTGTAAAATATCAAATTATGGGTTAAAACGGGGCATGCCCCCTGTAACCCCCCAGATTTTCTTTTACCCCAGGTGGGCCGGATTGGTCTAAAGCACGTCTATCTCGATTAAGAACAATCAAATATTTCAAAAACTATTAATTTACGACTTGAAAGAAGTTGATATTCATGTTCAGCGCATCAATATTTAGATCTAGACGTCTAGTAGAAAATGGACAACTGGTAGCCAAGTGTGAGACGGGAGGGAAAGTTAAAAAATACAAAAAAAAACTTGGAAAACTAAGACAAAACATCCATGTCATCGAAAAGGATGCTAAAGAGTGAAAGAAGGGCGCCAAACGGGAGTTTTTTGAGAAAATCTAGCATAATATGCCATTTAAAACAAAAATTGTCAGACTCTCAAACATTGGGAAACACTGTAAGTCTCAATACTAATGTCCGTGACCCTGTTACGCAAAATATCAAATAACAAAGTCAACACTTGCTTTTTATTCACGTGTTTATTTGGGCACAATAAACTCTGTCACCTGTGTTGTCTCTCACACCCTTACCATGAAATCCGCCAGTGGTCAAAACTTCACATTCACTCCTCTCAATTGCTATCCTGTCTGATAATGATATACTTCAGTCTTACTTATCCAATTACCACCAGTGCTTGCCTTTCATAGGACCACTGTTTGACCTATTAAAAACAGACGTTTGAACGTGTATGTCCATTGCTTCCACCCTTAGCCCCACCCACCCGTGTAACAAGCACGGTCAACCAATGCCACCCCTCTTTGGCATCATGTAACAACGATTCAAGGAACTCTTTCTCTTTTCTCGGCTGGCCGTACGATCAGGGCGGCAGGCATTGGTCATTGGTCAGTCTAATTTCACACCAAACTTGTGAGTTTTGTTTCTGATCAGGGTTGAACGGGCAAAGAATTTTCTGTCTTGGACAGGGGAAACACTCGGAAGGGAGTGGATTTTTCTTTCCATTTCTGCATTGGACAGGTTTCCGTTTTATACAGGTTAATTAAAGAGGAATTCTATATATATATATATATAGAAGAGGGGGGACCGGGGAGATTCCGTTAAGACAGGTTTCAGCTGAGGCAGGTTCGACTAAATTATTTTCAAAAAATTTCAAATTATGGGTTGAAACATGCCCCCTTGGAACCCCCCGATTGATCCAAAACATGTCTGTCTCTATTAAGAACAATCAGATATTTCAAAATCTAAAATTTGCAACCGAAATGAAGTTGATATTCAATGTTCAGCACATCAATAGAAAATGGACAACTGATAGCTAGTGTTAGACGAGAGGGAAAGTAAAAAAATACCCTGACTTTAGTAGTAGTGTGATGTCATCACTTCCTGGGATACCCATAGACTATTTTAAGAAGGCTGTTGAGGCAAAGACTCTCTACAAGATCTACTATACTACAACTACCATAACATTTTGGAATTCCAGTACTTGGACATGATGGAAGATCGCTTAGATCGTTGATGCTTAAAACAGTAAGAACGCTGATGCTTGAAATTGAAACAAGGTAAATGCAAAGACAATAAACCGCACGAAAACTGCCGTAAAGACCCCGGAGGATTACCCCATCCCCTGCTTGCTTCACATCACTACATGAATAAAAAAAGCTACAAAGCAACAGATTATAATTTATGGGAGAAACTGTTGGTCAGTCAGGAAGAGGGGAAGAGAGAAAAAAAAAACTTTCCGGGATCAGGATTCGTCCCCACGCTCATAAAATAATTGTATGACTTCAAACGCAGACACTCCGTCCATTGGGCCATCAGAACTTCCAACAGCGAAAGATACATTACATAGACACTTCCATCTTTTGTGCCATGCGGTTGGCTATATTTAGATGTAGTCACGTGATTGGAGGGATATCCCGGTCTGGCGTTAAACAAGATGGCCGCCTTACCTAAAAATGGTTTTCGTCATTCTACAATTAATCGCATGTCTTCTTCCCCCACCCCTCACCTCTTTTGCCCCTTCCTCTGGGCTCCTGACTCTTTGTGCAGCCTTTCCACTGCTTCTCCTTAGCTCCTTCTTTCTGCTGTCTTTCAGCCACACCCCTGATCTTCTGGGTAGGAAACATTTAGATTTAGGCTAGATCTACACTAGACTAGCCTTCTCGGAGGTCCCGTTTGCAAGTTGTGCACGTTAAAGATCCCTTGGTAGCCCAAAATCGATAGAGTAGGCTTCGGCCGCCACCCAGGCAAAATTCAAAATTTCCTATCAACTGAAAATGTCAGGCGTTTCCTGCACGCACATGACCTTATGCAGTTGCGAGCACCGTCAAACACTTACCAAAAAAAAAGTCTAGATCTAGCCGTACTTAGATTTTCTAGATCTAGGTTTGGCCGTATTGACCGAAACCCGTTGAGAACACCGGTCTCATTAGATCTAGAATCTAGTAATTTTACATGCATGTCAGTAAGGCACCTTTTGGTTTCGTCTGAAATAAAAATACTTTAGATCTAGATATATTGCAAACTAAAATTTTATTTACAATTTTAGCCATCATTATTCATTATTAAGTAGCCTACACACCGCTAGCCAAGCAGTTTTAGCCGTTTTTAAGTATGGCTAGCCTGCCAGTCTAGCCGTACTTATTTAAGGCCCTATAGTTATAGAAACCTGTTGCGTACACAGGTCTCATAAGTAATTATTCAGGTTTAAAATACATGCACTGTCTGACAGGCACCTGTTGGTTTCGTCTCAAGTACAAAACAAATACTTTAGTTATTGAAACAAAAAATTTATTTACAATTCAGTAGGCCTATTTTTGCTGTTGGTCAGTCTTGCCGTCATATAAGTACGGCTAGCCTAGTCGTCTAGCCGTCATATAAGTACGGCTAGCCTAATCGTCTAACCGTCATTAAGTACGGCTAGCCTCTTCCAACAAAGAAATTTTCTTGCTCTCTAGCAATGTTCTGTCGTCTGCTTTCGTCTCCACTTTCTGCCCCCCCTCCTCTGGTGTCCTGACTCTTTCTACTGCTTCTTGGCTCCTTTCTGCTGTCTTTCTTCAGCCACACCCCTGATCTTCTGGTAGGAAAGATCTACACCTAGTCTTCTCGGACAAAGGCTTAAAATCTCGGAGGTCCCTTGTGAAAGTTGTGTACATTAAAGATTGGACCCTTGGTGGTCCAAAATCGATATGATTAGGCTTCGGCTGCCACCACAGCAAAATTAAAAAATTCCTATGAATTGAAAATGTTTGGTGTGTCCCTCGTGCTCATATAATATATATATGACATGCTTTTGTGAACGCTGTAAAATACTTACCTCGAAAAAACAAAACAAAGAAAAACAACAAAAAATTTATTTACAATTCAGTTGGCCTTTTTTTTTGCTGTTTGTCTGTCTAGCCATCATTAAGTATGGCTAACCTAGCAGTCTAGCCGTCATTTGAGTTTTGTTGGTGTGTGTTATGGTATTAATCATTTTATGTAGAAGGCTACATTTCATTCCATATTTTTTATTCTTTCAGAGCTGAGACACTGTTCAGCCAGATTGCCGGGAAACGGCGTGCTGAAGAGGAAGCAGAGGAGGGGCTGAAGAAAGCAAAAAATGAGGAAAAAGTGTAAATATTTCTTTTTGTTTTCATTGCCTTGAATAAATATATGGATAGGGAAAGAAAAGGACTGATTCCAGCAAAGCCACTATTTTAAGGGATAGGGAGAATCAGTGAACAATATAGCCTACGCAAATTAAGTGTGATTTACAAAAGAAATTCTTTGGCATCTCCACAGAAAGATGTGTGAACTGGTTTTTTAAAATTATCAATATTTTTGGGGTTCAATTTTCATGTTCAACATATTGTGGACTAGTGTTTTGATGAAGGCGGGGATAAAGAAATGATCAAATCACCTGTGCCTGTAGTGGACTTCTGATTTGTGCTCAGTGCTGTTCAATAATGTGCAGGGCGTTTGTATTTCTTTGTTTTACAGGGAAATTGTAGTGCTGTATCATTAGAGAGAGAGACAGAGTCGTGGAAGTCTGATGAATATGGATGGAAAAGTACTTGTTGAAAATTTTATTCTGATAAAAATAAAGCAAAATGATTTTTGATAAAAATTTCTCTTGACAGGGTGGAGGTCATGCCCCGTCTCCAGGTGCACACTGTAGAGACCATTGAGGCTTGCACACATGAGGTAAGAACTTAAAATAATACTGCTTTTTAAAAAAAAAGTACAGTATGCGTTTTTTATTATTATTTATTTTATTTTTTTCAATTTTACAGTAGGGCAAAAAACTCAAATGTTGTTACCAAGAAAACACTTTTCAAACATGTCAGGTCATTATTTTTTAGAATACAATTTTGATAATAACTTCCTTATTATCTTTTAAACAAATGTTGTTTTCTAACTTGGTAACATCATTTAGTTTTTTGGTTGTCCTGAAAAATTATAAAAATTGCAGTACTCTTAAAAATGATGGCAGAATAGTCAATGGATTTTAAAAAAGGATATGAGGTGGGTTGTTTTGGTTTTTTTTCGTTGAGTATAACGTGAGATTTTTTGTTGTAAGAGCGCTCGTACTTGACTGAGCTTACACATTTTAAAATGGTTTGAAATTTTTTGAAAATTTGTGCAATCTATGCATAGAGATGTTCTGAAATATGACATCTTTAGTTTAGTGGAGTAAACTGAATTCTCTATAATGTAAATAATGTGTTTGCACACACACACACAAATACACTCATTGGCGCCCATGACCTTATGCAGTTGGGAGCGCCGTAAAACCCTCTACTAAAGAAAGACAAATACGCTCACTCACTAACACACACTCTCACTTACACACAAATTTATGCCCCTGTGGCTGGGATGGTTCTAATGTGGTCTGGCGTGCATCAGTATCTTATAACTTAACTTGATATAATTCCATTGTGTGATCGCACAGGTTGCTGTTCCTCCTGATGATGCCTATGTACCCCTGAAGGCCCCGACTGGCGCCCCGGCCAAGGAATACCCCTTTACGCTGGATCCATTTCAGAAAGAGGCAATTCTGTGCCTGGAAAACAACCAGTCTGTTCTGGTCTCTGCCCACACATCTGCGGGGAAAACTGTGGTGGCTGTGTAAGTTGTGCTTCCTTTGGTTGTTTGTTTTCAAGATGCATCTTGGTGTTGTTTGTTTTTGTGGACTGAAGATCAGGTGTAACTTCAGGAGGGTAGGGTAGGGTATTTTGTCTTACTTTATCATCAGGAGCCGCCATATTTTGGGTCATTGGGTATTAACATTTGTCTCATGCTTTCTGTGATTTCAAAGTTCTTGTATTTCAAGCTTGATCTTCCTCTGTCTTAAAAGTTGTGGCCTTTTTTTTTTCTTGTTCAGAGACAAGTTAAATGCTTTAGATATTGTGCTCACCATGAGTGCTCTCTATCTTTGTGAGGAGGTACACAGGAAATCATAAATCATCCCTAGGAATTGTTGTCAAATGTATTTAATTGTGGTGTTTTTCATATATATATTTTGTTTTACAGATATGCCATTGCCATGTCCCTGCACAGCAAGCAGCGTGTGATCTACACGACGCCTATCAAAGCCTTGAGTAATCAGAAATACAGAGAGCTTTTTGAGGAGTTTCAGGATGTGGGTCTGATGACTGGAGATGTGACCATCAACCCCACCGCTTCTTGTCTGGTCATGACCACTGAGGTATGTGCTGACTTTGAAGTAGCAATAACATATTCTAAAGGATGTTCAATTTTTTGGACATTTATTGTATTATTTTAGTACTGTGTAATAGGTTTGAGTTGCCAACTTTTCTCTCCTCTTTTGACTTTGGTAGTTCCCTTTGGAGTCTGTCTTCATCTTTTTCATGAGACGTATTGTCTCACTCAACATGGGTTGGCCTTGACAGGTGGGGGGTCAACGTGAATGTGCTGATGGGGCATTCGCCTTTAACAAAATTCTTTTCTATCAGTTGTAAGTTGTTGGAAGTACTTCCGCACCTAGGTGACAACTGTAATGAACTGGTTTATTTGTTTTGTTCATATTATGGAATATAGGTGTCGTTTTCATATTTTTTGTTGTTGTGGGTTCTGGTTTTGTTTCACTTCTGGTAAAAATCCAGGAATTTTTTACACTTTAGTAAATTAAGTCCTAGTATGAACTGTTTCTGTGTTGCTTATATTATTGATATATAAATTCTTTTATCAATGCAAGGAATGATGTTATTTTTACAACTCTTTTTTTGCCTTGTAATTGGGTGAAAATGATACTCTGAACCTTAACCTTTCTCACATTTTTGTCAGTGACAAAGATGCTAATGTGCGCCATATTATGATATGTGATAGTGGAATCATTAAATGTCTCGTCAGATTTTGAGGAGCATGTTGTACCGTGGATCTGAGGTGATGAGGGAAGTTGCTTGGGTAGTTTTTGATGAAATCCACTACATGAGAGACAAGGGTAAGTTCAGTTATCTCAGTATGCCAAAATAGATTGCATTTTCAAAATTTCCATTTTACTACTGTTTTGTGTTTTTAATAGAAAGCTATATCAACTTGGTGTCTTAGTGCTTCAGTACCTCTGAGTTGTTCAGTGTCTACAGGGATGATTATATAATGGTGTGGAGCAGATAGTGTCCCATCTGTTATGTAAACATTATGCAACTACTTTCGTGTCAATGCACCTTCTCTTTGATAAATGGACAAACGAGACGGCTGTGCTGTTTAATCACTATGGTGTAGATTGTATTGCAGCTGCTGTAAAACTTTTAACCGCAACAAAGAAAAACATGAAGATGTTGGGCAAATATTGTTCTGTCTCTAAAAATTGAGAATGTATCTGAAAAAGTTTCCATTGATGCCAGTAGTCTTTGATTGCTACTATATCTTTTTTTAAGTGCCCGTCTTGTGGCTTGATTGTTTATTCCAGAGCGTGGTGTGGTGTGGGAGGAGACCATCATCCTTTTGCCCGACAATGTCCATTATGTGTTCCTCTCAGCCACCATTCCCAACGCAAGGCAGTTTGCAGAGTGGATTTGCCACTTGCACAAACAGGTTAGTTGCGTTTTTGTTTCTATGATCTTTCATTTGTTGTTTTAAAATATGTTTTTTGTTTGTTTTTGTCATCAAGCCTTTGTTTACGTTACGTTTACGTGACTACAACCCCCGTCCTTGACATCCCAGGGAAGAAGACGGTCCAAAGCCATAGTACGAATTTTTAAGTTAGATTACTAATTTTCTATTTGTTGATCATTAAAACATATGCTGGTGGGTGGGCAGCCATGCTAAAGCTAAAACATTTTTTCCTTCGTTTGTTCCAGCCCTGCCATGTGGTGTACACAGATTACCGACCCATTCCCCTGCAACATTACATCTTCCCAGCTGGTGGGGATGGTTTGCATCTTGTTGTGGATGAAAACGTAAGTTCTTTATCTCATGGACCACGCCCCGCATGTCGTAAAACTGTTGTGTTCTTGAAAATATTAAAAGAGAAATCACTGGAATGGTGACTTGCAGATGTTACAAGATTTAAAAATTTGTTGACTATTTAGTTTTGCTGCTGCTAATCAGTTTTATTTGAATAAGTAAAAAAAAATTTTTTGTAGAGTAACATTTTGCTCGGGTTTGAACTTCATGTGGGTTTGCTATACATGGTTAAAAAATATGAAAGAATAGTTGCCTGATTACAAAAGACTATGGAATCCTCAGAGGCAGGGTAATGAAAATGTTTTCTTGTCTGTCTTCCTTGATCTCATGGGTTTATGTGTGTAAGCAAAGCAGTGTAACTTTTATCATTTATTCTGTATTAATTCTGTTTTTCTCAAATGTTTGAATAAAATCTCTATCAGTTCATGCTAGATCACAGGGTTACATGAAAAGAGCTGATCAAGTTGTGGGGTTGTTTTTTTTTACATTTTGTGGTCTTTGCTTTGGAGAGAAAAAAAGCACAGCTGCACTATCTCATCAGCTAAAGCAGAAGCTACAAGTCATCGTAAGGTTTAATTCTTCTAATTCTTCTATTTTGCTTTAGAAATATTCTCCTCTACAGATATCTTGGTCATCGCCAGACACATGCGGATAACTTAAGAACGACAGATGTACACCATTGGCCGATATTTAAGTAACAGCTATCTTGTTTGACGTCATTGAGGGATTCCCACTTTGTTGTCGTTCACTGTGGCAACACGACCGCAAAGCGCTATTGAAGTATTTTTAAAGCCTGTAGCTTACAGTGGTGTGGTGGCGGAGTGGTTAGTGCGCTTGTCTCCAAAGCAGAAAGTCCAGGTTCGAGCCTCGATTCGGCCACGGATTTTTTTTGTTGCTCAATGACGTCAAACAAAATAGCTGTTACTATAAATATCGGCCAATGGCATACATCTGTTGTTCTAAAGTTATCCGCATGTCATTGATGGACAAGCTGTTATTATAATTATTATTATGTTTTTCATTGACAGGGTGAGTTCCGAGAAGAGAACTTCAACACAGCCATGTCGGTGCTGAGAGATGCTGGTGACGGGGCCAAGGGGGACCAGAGAGGCCGCAGAGGAGGAAGTAAAGGTTGGTTTTTGTTTTGTATCTTCTTTAGATTGTGTTCAGGCTGATAAGTGAAAAAGAGATTGGGTTTTGAAAATTGTATTATTGAATTGTACGTTTGTGTATGCCTTGTAGTTATACAGACTTCAACAAAAGTTAGTGATCACTTTCAAACACTCTGAGTGGTCTTCTTGGGTCGACCTGCACGTGGGCATTTTTGGACTGATTCTGTGGTGTGAGGGTACTGCCTCAGGCGGACAATGACAGTGTGACACTGCAAGCGTTCTGGCAACTTCTCGGGCTCCAACTCCATCCTTTAGCCATGCCATAGCTCTGGCACGATTTAAGTCTCTCAGCTTTCGTCTTGGTGGCATGTTGATTCGATACCGGATTTTGCGCAAACGGTGGCTTGTATTGCCACCAAGGTGAGTACAGTTGGAGACCATACGTCCGTGTATGACGTGCACCAGAAATTTTAACTGAAGAAAGTCCATGGTGTCACACACAAACAACAAATTGGGCTCAAATTCCCCGAGGTTTTCCATGCTGCACGTGGTGGTTTTGGTCCTTTAGGAGGCTTTGCGGTACACGTTGGTAACCCATCAACACCCTCAGAGCAAAAATTTTGAAACTTTCTTTGCTGCCTTTTTTTTTCGGAATTAAAAAAAATTAGGACTGTCTGTCAAAGTGGTCCTTAACTTTTGTTGAAGTCTGTACATGTTGAAGGTTTTGACCAGTTAAACTAAGGCAAATGTTGCATTTGTTCCACCAGCTGGCATTACTGTTTCACATGTATGTACATAATGTACAGATTTGAAATTTGCAATGAATTTGTCAGAATAATGATAATATGTATAGCATTTGAATAGCGCAAATTCCTGCTCAACAGCAAGCTCTATGTGCTTTTCGGTTTATGTTATTACCCCATCAGACCTGATAGCATTCTGAAACAATCTCAACTTCCTAGGAGGCATACAGGATGAGATACCGAGTAGTACCGATGCACCTAAGCTCCTTTTGGTAGTGTGCTCTAGATTCAGACCACAGCCTAGTGAGGCTTATGTTTGATGCACAAGATAAAAATAACCTTGTGTTTGTGTCCGTACGGATAATCAACAGGTTTTTTTTCCCTGTTCCTTTCTTTTACCCCATACTATTGCTCATCCAATCAACTTATGACTTTGTGGGGGTTGGAACTTACAACTTTGTGTTTTTGTTTGATATCCTCAGCCAATGAATCTGACTGCTACAAAATTGTGAAACTCATCATGGAGAGAAACTTTTCACCTGTCATTGTGTTCAGCTTCAGCAGAAAGGATTGTGAAGGTTATGGCATGCAGATGTCAAAACTGGACTTCAATACAGGTTCACATTACTTTGCTGCTCCTGTTTACTCCTTTCAGTCCAATGTTGTTGTTTTTTTTTTGTTGTTTCAAATGAGGGACATTAAAAGAATATTTCTGTAATTTAAGGCTTTTTGATATGTTAATACCCAGAAAATAATTGCATGTTCTCTTCTTGGCTGAAAATGTAACTTCAGTTCAAGTAAATGTTTTTAAAAAAAATAATAAATTCTATTCTATCAATAGGGTGGATAAAAGTAAGTATTGTATCTATGAAATATTAAAAATCTTTTGTTAATAAATTTTTTGGTGAAGTTTCAAGTGATCTTGTTTGAGTTCTGTTATCTTGTTTTTTTCTCTAACTTTCATCATTCACTGGTGTTTTCAGAGGATGAAAAGGCATTGGTTGAGGAAGTGTTCAACAATGCTGTGGATGCACTATCTGATGAGGACAAAAAGTTGCCTCAGGTAAAGTCCCTCTGGATCCTAGTGTAAAGTTATTGTAGAAATATATTGAAATTCTGAAAAAATATGTACAAGTTGTTTTGGAATCAGGGGATTTTTCGTACCTGATCAAAACTCCAGAGGTCTTTACATACCCTCAATTCGTAAACTTCTTTTTGTAGCTGACTTCAAGTCAGGCCGAAGGGCTAGAACTCAAATGGCCGCTGGATCGGAAAAGTAGCTGACTTTACAAGATTTTAAAAGAACTAGAGAAAATGCAAGTCTATTTTCGAAATTAGTCTGGAAAAGAAAGAACTCAATGGCATTTCATGGTTGCCTACTTGGCTCTCTTAGTTGTAGCCAAATGAGTCTGGACAAAGAGAGTAGTAGTAGTAGTATAAGGTTTTACGGCGCTCGCAACTGCTAAGGTCATATGAGCGCGCACACAAAGAGAGTCTTGCTAAAATAGATAGGTCTTATGTTTTCTGCATTCTTACCATTGAGCTGACTCTTTAATATATTGTAGTGTCTTTACTGATCTCTTCTCTCCTGATTTCAACAGGTGGAGCATGTTTTGCCTTTGCTAAAGAAAGGCATTGGTATTCATCACTCTGGTCTGTTGCCTCTATTGAAAGAGACAATTGAGATTCTCTTCTCAGAGGGTCTAATTAAGGTAAGACGGGTTCTTTTGTTGTTGAGCTCATCATGGATACAGTGAGAATGAACTTGTGAGCATGTTGCACATCAGAAATAGTAGCAAGAGAGTGTGAAAAGTTATCATTTTGTTTAGTGATGAAAGGTGTTGTATTGTTTTGGGAGGTTGTTGATAATGGGTATTTTTTTGGTGGTTTTTGTTTTCTATGTTATTTATTGGGGTTTGGAATGAGTGAGTCTGTGTTATAAGGTTATGAGAAATGGTTGATGATAATGCTCTTCGTGAAATGATTTGAAAAATGATGCCTTTGTTATTGTATGTGTCTAGAAAGCTCAATCCTGAAAGTGACAAATTCTTTTTATTTTTATTTCACTGAGGTCAAGCTTTTAATTTGTTGTGTTTTTTCTTTGGAACAGGCTTTGTTTGCCACGGAAACCTTTGCCATGGGACTGAACATGCCTGCAAGGACTGTGCTTTTCACTGGCTGTCGTAAATTTGATGGCAAAGATTTCAGAACGGTAAGGATCTGTGGACCATGGTATCTCATATGTTCTTTTTACATGTGAATGCAAAAATATTTCCTAAGTAAAACAGGCATGCCGTGTAACACTGAGGAAATTGGTTGAAAATTTGATGATTAAAAAAGTTATAAAGTAAAAACACCTGCAGGTTATATCATAAATTTCAACTGTAAACACTCTAGTGCTCCCAACTGCTTGTAGTATCGCATGTTATTGTAAATATCTTGACCCCCAAATTTTTTTTTACCCCAAGGTTAATCAAGTGCTCTTCTCATTTTCAAAAATTATTGTTATTGTTATTGGGGGGGGGGGTTCTTTTTTTCAAAATCAGAAAGTCCTGTCCACGTGTCTCTGGATTTGGTGCTTAATTGTTTAATTTTCTTTCATTTGTGGTGGTAGGTAACATCAGGGGAATACATCCAGATGTCCGGGAGAGCTGGACGTCGTGGTCTGGACGAGAGAGGTATCGTCATCATGATGGTGGATGAGAAGATCACACCGGAAGCAGGCAAGGCCATTGTCAAGGTAAATTGCTGCTTTTCTGTGTGTTTGGAAAAAATTGGGTGAAAACCCCCAAAATGAGTATATATTTAGATATATTTTCAGCAATGAGTTCATATATATGGTCAGGATTATTTCACATTCAGCCAAATCAATTTCAGAGGATTCCAGGTAAATCTGTTATTCGAATAAATGCATCACGAGGCAACCTGCACCTGCACCATAGTTTTCATATTTCCTTCCTAGTTTGTTATTAATTGAAAAAATCATAAGTACCCTAGTCTTGGTTAGGAATTTGGAAATCTCCTTTCCTTTGACATTCTCCCAACTTCAAAAAATGACTTGGGCACTTGTTGAATGATGCTGGCGATATCAGTGGAATCAGGCGCTTGTCAATTTTTGGGCCTATTGAGTTTTTGGATATCATCTTAAAGTATTTAAAACTATTTGTTCATTTATCTTGCGTTTGTTGAAAAAAGTACCCATCTTGAATTGGAGATATTTGAGATTGTGTCAGCTGTAAAATTTGAGAGAAAATAGTCACCAAACTGATTTCCAAATCTTGTATGACTTTAAAGACTGCACACTTACAATTTTTGTGTCTCTGATCATAGTTTTGTTTTGTTGTAAAATCTACACAGAAATGTTTTAAATGGATGCAAAAGATGTTTAGCTTAAAAAAACGAAGGAACAAAAAATATGCTTTGTTACATAAGAAAAGCAAAAACAGAAGATTTGTCTTGTGTTAGCTTGACTACCTCCAGATTGCTCTCAGTTGTCGGGCCATTGTTTGTTCTTGTGTCGCATGACTCTTCTTTTTTGTATTTCTGTGTGTTGTTGTTGTCACTAAATCAGTTTTACTGCATGCCTATTTTTCGCTCAAGCAAAAGGAGTCTTGGTTGCTGAGAATGGAGCAACTATATGGGGGTCAAAGGTCTCACTGACAGTTTGACTTTGGTTATGAACTGTTTTGTCATTTTCTGGAAATGTTCGTGGGTGGTTGGCGGGTTCTCTGGTGTGGTTTGCTTCTTTTTTCCTATCAAACATCTATCGTCCTTATCTCCCCTTCTTTTTTATGTTTGTAACACCTCTAATCTTCTGGTGCTCATATGACCTTATGTAGCAATGCCCACCGAGCGCGTTTTGTTCTGCCGATTTTTGACCCCCGCAGCGGGGGTGTTTCGTGGGACGCACTAACGCAAAGGTTGTTGTCTTCAACTCGCTCTCACGCCGCTTCTCGTGAATGGATATGAATGAAACTTAGCAGCCAATCAGAAAAGAGGTCAATCTCGTAGTATGCAGTTTGACAACATTGTACCCGTCCTAGAAGCAGTCGAAAACGTTTGCGAAAGTGGTTGATGTGGTGCGCTTTGAAGATTTTTCGGAGCTGTGATTTGTCAAACTGACTGATACGTTGTACACCATTTTTCTTTATTCCCTTAAAATTTCAAGCTTCTGTGTTTAGCGGTTTTCGCGTAATCTTTAAAAATGTGGGAGTAACTAAGGGAAAAAGCGACATTGCTGTTTGCGCGACGACCTGCGGACTGGAAATTTCCACTGAGTGACGTCATCAGCCATCGGTCGCCTCGGGCGCTACAAACGAGGCCCCGCTTATGTGAACCGGAAAGGGGGGGAAGGATACTTGAAAACTAAATGGGGGCCTTGATAACTTGCGTTTTTGTTGCATTTTAGTCACAATACAATAGATGTAGTCATTTTTATTTGCTTGATTGCATGACAGAAGAATAGAAACAGAAAAGCAAACATCTTGAAAAGTGGTGTGGCATTGTGTTTGCGTTATGAAAGCCTATTCCCCCTCTTTGGAAAGCACACACTTGGACTCGTCCAGGCATTAAGACTGTTATTAAAGAGTATGGTACTTATTTAGTCCAGTCTGGGAAGATAGTCCCGTTTATACATTGTTATCGTTCACGCGTGCGTGCGTGAGCGCGCGCGTGCATGTGTGCGTGCGTGAGAGAGAGAGAGAGAGAAGGGGGGGGGGTGTAAATATGTTACATTTATTGTATGAGTTGTAGCCTACACATGCGAAATATTCCCATGACTTGTAAACTATATTATCTGAACGCATCTTAATCTACCACACAATAGGACACTGTCCAACAATGGATATACACAGAGACGATCTTATTTTCTATAACAAAGTATGCATGCTTTTACTAGTACAGAACTGGATTTATTAGTAGCTCTCTACTTACATTTTTGTGACAAATTGATCCAGAACATTGCTTGGCAAGGAGGAACCTTTTATGTTGCCAAGTTTCATTCAAATATCATGACTTTGGGAGAACATATGACTGATATTCTTTGTAAATCTGTAAAGAACGCCACTTTTTTACCTGTTAATATCTTTACAACTCAAAAAGTATGACAGATATTAAAAATCTGACAGCATGACTAGATTCTGCATTAAAAAATGTACTAGACTGCCAAGTTTTATTTACATATTCCAAGAAATAGGCGAAGTATGACAAATATTGTCTCAAAGCGCACCGAAAACCGCCACATTTTTACCTATAAACGTCTTCATAACTCACAAAATAGGATAGCTATGAAAAATCTGAAAGCAGGACTAGATTCTACACTAGAAAATGTACTGGGTTGCCAAGTTTCTTTTAAATACTCCGAGAAATGAGCGAGTGATGACGAATATTGTCTCAAAACTCATCAAAGAACGTCCCATATTTTGGGCTTTTTTCATTATATAAAAGTGTACCAGAAATTAATTGATTAAAAAATCTGTAACTTTTTTGTTTATTGATGGATTTCAAAAATTCAAAAAGTTCCATGCTCTGTGAAGATATAGCTACAAAATGCACCTATTTGCAAACACTTTCTGGCAAAAAAAGGATTTTCGTAGTCATTGCTACCATATGCAGTTGCGAGCGCCGTAAAACCCTCCACTAAAACTAAAACTAACTGGAAATGTTCCTTTCTCACAAGGCTTGGTATCATCGTAGAACTTTTAAGTCTTTAAAAATTCTCCAGAACCTGTAGTTTCTTTGTGACATATCTCTCAAAATGTTTCATTTTTGTTCTCCTACAGGGTGACCCTGACCCCCTGAACTCTGCTTTCCATCTGACCTACAACATGGTGCTCAACCTGCTGAGGGTGGAAGAGATCAACCCAGAGTACATGCTGGAGAGGTCGTTTTTCCAGTTCCAGAACTACGCGGCCATCCCAGGCCTACTTGAGAGTCAGTGACTACCGTCTCTTTTGTCCTTTGTTCCTAGGATGTAGTTACTTGTCTGTTCCATTTTGTTGGCTTTTAATACTATATGTGTGAGTGGTTGATGGGCGCCCTGATTTGGTTTGCCACTTCTTTCCTGTTACAACGTCTTTTGTCCTTTTCTCTCCTCTGCGGGTGGTTGCTGGATGTTTTGGTGTGGTTTGCTCTGTCTTCCCTATCAAACATCTATCGTTCTTATCTCTCTTCCCTTTTTTGTGTTTGTAAGTCTGTTGTAACACCTCTAATCTTCGGCACTTATATGACTTAATTGTTTTGCAAGTGCTGTAAAACTCTTACCTCAACGATATGTAGTGTAACTTGAGAGTCAGTGACTACTGTTTTGTCCTTTGCTTCTAGGGTTTAGTTGATGGAGATTTCTCTGTCTGTACCATTTTGTCAGCTTTCAATATGATATATGCAGTGTCACTTAACTTGTACTTATTTCAGTTTGTAGTATCAGTTGGTGGTTGCTATCCAGATTTAGATAATTTAATGTAAAGGTTATGAAGTGACTTGGGACTGGAGATGATAAATGTTAAACGTCTCTTTGAAGTACACAAACAAATGATAATGGAAACATTGTCTTATCGTAAGGGTATTTTTGTGTGTACGGCTAGGCATTTAATCTCGGCACTTACTTTAATATGTGTCTGTAAGGCTAGGCGTGTTTTCTCAGCACTTACTTTAATATGTCTATGTAAGGGTTGGCATTTAATCTCAGCGCTTACTTTAATATGTGTATAAGGCCAGGCATTTAACCTTTGCGCTTACTTTATGCCTTGTCTCCAGAGCTGCAGGTTAAAGAGGAACTGTACAACTCCCTGAGCATAGAGGACGAGGAGTCTGTGTCCGCCTACTACCGCATCAGGCAGCAGCTGGCCACTCTGACCAGGGAGGTGAAGCACTACATTCTCAAACCCACCTACCTCTTGCCTTTCTTGCAGCCAGGCCGAGTGGTCAAGGTAAGTGTGCGTGGGTGGTCTCTAGGGTGTTGACGTGTGGCTTAAAGTGCGCTGAGTGGGAACTGATGTGAATTGTCAAAAACTCACTTTCGGTATTTTAAAAGTCTTTTACTATATTTGCACATGATGTTTCACATCATCATCATTCTAACCCTGTTTTGAAAATTTGACAATGTGTCAATACTGCAAACTTCTTTAAATTAAATGTAAAAAAAATATTCCGTTCTATTTGACCCTGTTGTACCCTAGTGGGCCTTATAAAGAATAACGTGTTTAGTATTTGTCCTTTGTGTGTGCCTTGACACTTGTGGAAAATGTTAACTCAATTATTTCTATGAGGACACCGGAGCGGAGAAGTTTAGGTCTATACATGAATTGATCGAGTTTTTAGTGTGTGCAGGCGTAGGAGAAGCTGTGAATGTAGATGACATTTCAAACACCAATCAGTGTCGAAGACCTTCATTATTGATTGAAGCAGATTTTAAAATCTTATAATGTATAAAATTCTGCTTTTGGTTTATTCCCAGGTTCAAAATGGTGATCTGGACTTTGGTTGGGGCGTGGTGCTGAACTTTCACAAGAAGATGGATCAATCTGCTGTGAGTGGTGACTTTGTTGTTTCTTTCTATGTAAAACATTAATGATTTATTCCAAAGTCCTTTTTAACATTAGTGCCCTCTTCTGCCAGTTTCAATATAAAGAGGTATAAACAGATCAACATACTATTCACCAGATCTAGTTATAATCTCAATTCTAGTCAAATACAAACTTGCTCTCTCTTATGGCCATCTGTCCAAAACAATCATCTTTACAAATGAAAACTTCTTAAATCCCTCTTTCATTTGTTTTACATTATAATGACACTGTTCAAGACAGCCCTTTTTTCCCCCGACAGTGGGTGGCCGGCTTGGACAGTTTCGACTATACTGCTGAATACTGCAAAATCATCTAGGCCTATATTTTATTACATTGTCTAAATGTGTCAAGACTTGAATTTGAGAGAAGTATGAAGTTGAGATACTCTTTACAGAATTCAATATTGTTCTAGTCTTCAATTCATTTTGAATCTCTGTATCCTGTAAGTTTGTGTTTTCGCTTGTATATCCTCCCTCACCCACCTTCTCATATCACCTTCAGGCAACGGATGAGACAGGGACGCTTTATGTGGTTGAGGTTCTGCTGAACCTGACCAAGGAGAGTGTGAAGAGTCGCAACGCCTCTGACATCCAGCCCTGCCCCAAGGGGGAGAAGGGAGAGATGCAGGTATAGAATTTGACAATGATTATTGTTACTCATAATTTGTCTTGGTTGTTTACAATGGCACTGGGGTTACGAAGTTTGTGTGCACTCACGCATACATGCAGCAAGAAAAACTTTGAGGAGGTCCGTGGCTTTGATGATCTTCAGCAGGATGATAATTTGTAAGGCTGCCAACATCCCCTTCTCTTTTCTGACGCTCAGTTTTCTTTGTGTTTAAAAATCCTGTGCCATTCCCTCTGTCCCTATTTCACAGGAAGAAACAAGCAAAATGTTTTTTGTCGTTTTGGTGTTTCTCTGTCTCACTACTCTTCAACAATGAATGTGACCAACAGGCAAATTTCCTTGTCAGTACTATCAATAATGAGCACACCTATACAACGGAGATTATTTTCTTGTGATTATGTGCTGATTCTCATCAGTTGCGAGTATTGTTGTTTCATCAAGTGGTTAGAGAGGACAAGATGTCCCGAGCTGTGGCTGATGTCAATGCTATTTGGTACTGGCTAGGCACGGGATTTACAACTATAGGCTTCTCAGTTGAATCTGTTTTGAAAGTTGTCTTCTTGGAAATTACAGTTTACCCAAATTTTCTTTACTTCACCTTGGTGAAAAGGGAATTGCCAGGCTGAGATGGGAAAGATCTCGTTAGTATGTTAGTGTTTGAACACTTTTGACATGGCATCTTGTACCGAATGCTTCCCAGGGAACAGAGAATGTTTTGAGATGTTATAAGGACTGTCAGAGTAAAAATAATAGGTATGTAAAGCCCACTTTTAAGGAGGGATTAGCGCCATGCTAATGGAGTCTATATTATTATTTGCTGTTATTTTTGTTGTGCAGGTGGTTCCCATCCTGACTCGTCTCATTGATGCCATCAGTGCCATCAGGCTGTACATCCCGAATGACTTAAGGTCCTCCGATAGTCGCTTCCTGGTTCTCAAGTCTCTTCAGGTGAGTGCTTGCCTAGTTATGCTTAAATTTGAACAAATATTTGCGTCTAGCAGGGTGACTGCCAGGCCCCGGAAATTTGAAAAAAGTTGTTGGGACCCGGGAATGCCCCAGGAATTTGAGGAAATCTGTGAATTGCCCTGGGAAAGACCCGGGAAAATACATAAAAGCTCTCGAATATAATTTGAAAACCAGATCAGATAACGTCTTTAAGTTCATTTTTGCCGATCGCGATTGTGATAATCATTCGGCTTTTCTCGATCTGAGAGTACGTTTCAAGTGAACAGGCGGCTATGGCGGCAAGTGGAAGTGTATGTCTGACACTGAGGCTCAATCGGGAAAATCAAGATCTGCTTTCGTTACCGCCCAGAAATTTGCCGGTAGTAGTCTGATAACGTAACATTTGTAAAATGCAGGTTGTGCATTACAAACGCTGTGTCGCCATGAAATTAAATCAATATTTGTCCCGTGCTGTCACTTGTGAAAAAAGAAAGAATCAGTGCTTCCACTCTTCCGTATTTTTACGGAAATCCATACTTTCTGCCAGTTCCGTACTTGTCCCTCCATCATTATCTACTCCCTCCGTAAAAAAAAAACTGCGACAGTGCAGGACTGCCGAAATTTCGTATTGTCTTGTATAAGGTACGGATATTTACGGTAATTCTCTCGGCAACAAGTTAACGTTATAGAAACCTGCCAAATTGTGCATTTCCTGCAATCGGACATTATACCGCTATGTCCCAGTCCCATGCATTCATTGCG